AGTGGCCAAGCACGGGTGTACCCCCTTGCCGCAGCATAACATGATCTGGCAGCCGCTCATTGATTTTGTTGGTGGTCAGGGTCGGCTGCGGCGGCTCGCATCGGCGCTCGGCGCCAGTTTGGTTCAGGAGGTCGTCTACTACATCACGTGCTTCTTCGCGCAGCCGTCCGTGTACCACGTGGCCTTCCTCCGCACCCTCTGCGTCACCCTGTCCAATCTTGCTGCTGCTGAGGAGCGGCGGCGGGGCCAGGCTCGAGGTCAGGGTTTTGTCAAATGGCTCAGGGATTGCTTGAGCAGCCGTTCTAAGCCTGTACATTGCTGGACGAAACCTCGTGGGTGGCAGTTGTCCCAGGTCCACACTTCCCTGGGCCCTTCGGGCCACGCCGATGATGTGGCCAACGTTCAGCGGGAGTTTTGGGAAGGTATATGGGACGGTGGGTCTTCGCCAGCCTCTCTGGACGAGCTGCCGCACGACTTGGCGCAGCTTCGTGATTTGGGTCCTCGGCTTCCGCCAATGGGCATCCAGGAGCTCCGCAAGGCCGCCAAGGCCTTTCCTGCCAGGACTGCTGTAGGTGCTGACTTATGGAGGCCCAAGCACTGGGCCCTGGTGTCGAATGGGGCTTTATCTTTCTTGGGATATATGTTTCATCTCTGTGAAGTGTGGTCTTCCTGGCCTGGGTATCTTCAGCATATACATATCGTGTTGCTCCAGAAACCTGCAGGGGGTTATCGACCTATCGCTCTCTTGGTTTCGTTATATCGAGTTTGGGCCAAGGCTCGCATTGATCATGTACGAAGCTGGGCCAATCGGTTAGGTCGTCCGTATATCGCGCTCGGCACTGGCAGGGCGACCACGGACGTTGCCTCGCGTGTTCTGTTGCATGGTGAAGCTCACCCACCGCAGAAAAAGGCGCAGTGGAATGACATTGTCTGCCTTCACGCCATCGTGGACATTGAGAAGTGTTTCGACAGGGTTCCCTGGGCCGTCATCACACAAGCTGCTATCAAGCATGGTGTCCCAGGGGCCCTGGTGGCTCTAGCTTTGCGCATGTGCACGTACGAGCGTCGATTAGCTTGGGCTGGTGCTTTCTCGGAGCCTGTGTTTGCTTCTCGGGGAGTACTTCCAGGATGCAGCATGGCTATGTTCATATTACAGCTGGCTCTGTTATCGCCTACCGACGCGTTGTATGGTAGCTCGGTGCACATTGATCGCGCGCTGCACGTGTATGCTGACGACCTGACGGTACAGATCCAAGCTAAGGTAGATAGTATTTTCAAGCACGCATGTTATGTGCTGGAAGGGTTGGTGGACGTGCTCGGCTCCGTTGACTTGGCGCCCGCCAAGCGCAAGATGACCGTGACTTGTGCTTATCCTACTATCGCTCAACGAGTCTGTCGTGCTCTCGGCAAGTTCGGTTATCGATATGTGTCGGCCCTAGAAGTGTTGGGCATAGAGGTCACCTCAGGGCGAGCTTTACGCTTTCAGAGGCTTCGTGCACGTGTGCGTAAGATGGGTACTCGCTTTCCTAGATTGCGTCGTGTTCGTAAGGCTGGGGCTCTCACTGGTAGGTTTGCCAAGTCTGCTGTTCCTGCTGCTCTCAACTACGGGGTGGGAGTGCACGGTGCGCCTCCAGCCGTCGTCGACTCCATGCGTAAGGCTACGCATCGTGTATTGTATGAACCAGGTCGCGCGGGTTCGTCGTGGATATCATCCTTCTTGCATGGTGGGGGTCCTCAGGACCCCCAGATCGCAGCATGGGTGGACCCTATTTATCAGTGGTGTTTACTGTGTTGGGATTGTTCACAACATGCACTTCTTCAACAGGCCTGGCGTCGCCAGGCCCCAGTTATTTATGTATCCAAGCAACCATGGGGTTTAGTGTCGGGTCCCACGGGGGCCACGCTGCTCGCCTTTTGTTCGCTCAGGTGGGTTTCGTCCTCGGCTTTCGCGGTTCGGACTGAACATGGGGATGTTCTCGACCTTCGTGAAGCGTCTCCTCTTGCTGTACGAGATATGGCTCGGGCTGCTGCCGTGCGACGATTGTGGTCGGATTGGGCCTCCCGGGCTGATCGTGATACCTCGTGCACTGTGGACCCCAAGAGCCCCACAGGGTACTGGTTGGAGCCCATTGTCTCTCTCTTGGGTAAGGCTAGGTAGGACGAGGACCCCGATAAGCCCTACCTCTTATCATATCAAACAGCAGGCACCCTGAGGGCCATGGTCACGGGAGGTTTGTGGACTCCAGCTCGGCGATTTTCGCGCGGATATGTTGCTGCCGCTCAGTGTCCTTTGTGCCCAGAGGTCTCTGCCGACGTCTTCCACATTCCGTGGACGTGTGTCTGCAATGAGGAGGGGCGCAACATTTTGTATGATGATCATGATAAATCTGCGCTTCCTCACCCGACCCCAACTTCGTGGTTTTGGGCCCGCGGCTTACTTCCACGGTCTGTATTTCCAGCCATTCCTGCTAGGGATGACTCATGCACGTGGCATTCGATGCACGGAGACTGTCAGGTTATCACTGGCCATGTGTTCTCTGACGGTGCTTGTCGTAAATATCATTACTGGCCTGAGGCCTCTCGGGCTGGATGGGGCTTCGTGCAAGTCGGGGATCATCGTATTCTTTTGTGCGTGTATGGGGCCTTGCCTGGCCCAGTTCAAACATCCCCACGGGCTGAGCTATATGCGGTTGTTCAGATTTTGAGAGTTGCGATGTTGCCGATCACCATTTACGCAGATTACTTGGATCTGCCTGAAGGCCTTGCTCGTGGGCCATCGTGGGGGTGCTCTCCGAGGCGCCCAAACAGTGATTTGTGGTGTGAAATATGGCGTAGGATAGAGGATCTTGGAGGACTGAGTTCTGAGCTTCAGGTTTTCCATGTCCCAGGGCACCAGAAGGGCATGTCTTTTGAGGCCCGTGGAAACCGTTGGGCCGACTTTGCGGCCGCCCAGGGCCGTGATTTGCATGCGGTTTCAGACTCTGATGCTCTCTTTATGAAACGGCTGTATATGGCCACTCGCAAGACTCTCACTTGGATGGCCCGTGCTCATACTAAGTATATGTCTGAAACGGTTGCCCCAGGTCAGGACCGTTTTGAGCAACGACGGAAGGCTCGTGCCTCTGCTGCCGCTCGTGCGGCTGCTCCGCCTGGCCCAGGGCTCCTGCATGTGTTTTTTCCGTGTAGCAACGGATGGCGTTGCGCCTCGTGCTCTAAGACTTGCCGGTCTGACAAACAGCGCAGGATATTCGCGCGTCGTCGTTGTCCTGCGAAGATATCTCTTTGTGCGAGGATCCTTCGCTCTGCGGGTGAAGTCTCGGGGAGTAAGGTCGGTTCTCAGGAGTGTGAGCCTAGCCAGCTTACCCCTGTTAGCACTTCTGCTCCGCCTGATGACGGGGGGGGGAGGGTTCGGACGTCGTCGCCGTCGCTGTCGTCTGGGAGGAGGGCCCTTCAGCAGATCCGCGCCCGTATGGCCTCGCCCCATCACAGGAATGTGCGTGCCAGGCAGGGTGATGCGACCTTTCCCACTGCTCTGACCCCTGACCCCCTGGCTTCAGGGGGCTTTGAAGATTTGGATGTCATGATCGCTGAGGAGGCGGCGTTTCACGATGACTTGGGTTTGGGGGCTGAGTCGGGACCGTCGTCTGTGTCGTGGGAGTGGGGGATACCTGGTCACGATGTTGATCGAGCTCAGGCTGCGCAGCCTCGAGCTCCCTTCGTGTCGCAAGGTTTGCCCCCCTCCACCTCCTCCTCCTTTGCTGCCCCTCCTGCTGCGGCTGCGAGTCTTGCTCCTGCTCGTGCTCGCGCTCGCTCTTCCTCCCCCGATTTGAGAGTCGTTCGCGCTCGTGTTTCTGCCCCTCTCCCTCCTGACAGAGGGAGAGGGGTGAGCTTCGCCCCTGCTGGCGACGATGACCTGCAAGATGCCGTCCAAGCTGTTCAGGCGCGCCCTGCTTCCTCCGCTTGGGGGGAACCCGCGCCGAAACTTCGCCGTGTCCAGGGGCCTCGTGGAGGCTCGCGTCTTCCCAGCTCTCGGCCCCTTTCCCCTCTGCCCGTCTCAGGGGATGTTTACCCCAGGAATGCTCGGGGGCATGAGTTGCGAGTCTCTCCTGGCAAAGTTGTCATCTGTCTCTCTTGTGGGGCCATCTCGACTGGGGGTGCGTCTGCATTGTTGGATGTTTGCCCCCCGCCTCCGTGTAGCAAGCGTGGAGCCTCTCATATCCATCGGTTCAACACGAACCGACACCCCTCGGACTTGCGTCGTCGTGGGACCATTTCAGGGCAGAGAAGGCTTCAAGTTTCTGACTCCGAGGTGCACTGGCTGCAACTCGGATGATTAACTCGTTAATCGTTATAAGAGCTTCTAATCTTCCAAGCTCGCCATTGCGTTCCGACCCCCTCCCTGCCGTGATTCTCTGATGGGCATTTGGGTGGGGGTCGCTTCGAGCGCTGGACCTGGGCCATGGGCTCAGGTCCGTTTTCGAGTGGCCGTTGGCGCGCCGCGCGACGGATCCCTCTTCAGCTTGCGTACCTCCTCCTCCTCCTCCTCCTCCTCCTCCTCCTCCTCTGCGCCCGTTTCGAAACGCAGCACGTGCCGTGCTCAAAACGTCCGTGCTGACACGCTGCTCATGGGTTCGTCGCGTGTCAGGCCACGCCGTGGCCTGCTGATCGCGCCGGGCCCACGTGCTTAGTCCGAGTGTGAAGCTCCGTGGCAACACGGCGCGGGCTGCGTGCTGAGTACCGATGCAGCTAAGGGAGTTGTGTCTTGGTTGGTGAGCATGTTTTCCATTACTACCACCATAGGTTGGAGGGGTGGGGGGACCTTCTCCTCCTCCTCCTCTTCGTCGTCCTCCTCCTCCTCCTCGTCCTCCCCGTTCCCCCCGCCAACTGATGGTGGTGGTGGTGGTGGAAAACAGGCCCATCATCGGTGGAGGATGCAGGGAGCGAGGGTGAACAGAGCTCCGGGAGGAAGGGCACGCGGCGGCTGGCGCGGCGCGCGCGAGGGCCTCGCGACAGTCAACGAGAACGGCGGCCCGCCTCAGCAGAGCGATGCGCAGGGCGGAGGCGCGGGCTTGCCCCACACAGCGGACGACGACGACGACGACAAGAACGACAACGAGCATGCGGGAAAGAGGAAGGGGAAGGAGAGGAGGAGGAGGCGGAGGAGGAGGACGAGGAGGAGAAGGAGGAGGAGGAGGAGAAGAGGGAGGGGGAGGAGGAGGAGGAGGGAAGGATGAAAAGGAGGAAGAAGAGGACGAGGAGGAGGAAGAGGAGGAGGAGGAGGAGGAGGAGAGGAGGAGGAGGGAGGAGGAGGGGGAGGGGGAGGAGGGGAGGAGAGGAGGAAAACCAGGAATAGAGGGAGAGGAGGAGAAGAGGAGGAGGAGGAGGAGGAGGGGGAGGAAACAGGGAGGAGGAGGAGGAGGAGGAGGAGGAGGATGAGGAAGGGAGGAGGAGGAGGAGGAGGAGGAGGAGAGGAGGAGGAGGAGGAGGAGGAGGAGGAGGAGGAGGGAAAGGAAAAGGAGGAGGAGGAGCATCAGGAAGAGAAGGAGGAGGAGGTGATTGAAAAGGGCTAGTAGGACCAGGGGGGAAGGGGCAGGAGAAGGGAGGAAACGCAGGAGCAGGAGGGTGAGGAGGGGGAGTTGAGGGAAGTCGAGGGGGGAAGAAAAGGAGTGGCAGGAGCGGAGGAGGAGGAGGAGGAGGGCAGAAAGGGGGAGTGTGAGGGTGGCCAGAGCCTCCCCTCCCATCCCTCCACCTCCGCCCCCCTTCCTCCTCCCCTCCCTCCTCTTCCTCCCCTCCCTCTCCCTCCTCCCCTCCTCTCCTCCCTCCTCCTCTCCTCCCCTCCCTCCTCTCCTCCTCTCCTCCCTCCTCCTCTCCTCCTCCTCCTGGCGCGGGCGCCGGGGTGGCGCCCGACGGGGGGTAGAAGCGCTGAGCGCAAGATCGTCGAAATCAACGGCGTGCACGAGCTAATGCTCGTCCTCGCGCAGGAAGTAGCCTCGCTGAGCGCAGCCGCGCGAAATCAACGGCGTGGCGAGCTACTGCTCTGTCTCGAGCAGGACGCGGCCTCCGCTCGCGCAGCCGCTGCGCACCCTGAATTTTCCAGGTCATACGCCTACGGGAGTCTCATGCCCTTGCTACATCTCAGAAAAAGAGCACACGCTATCCTCAATTAGTTCATTCGTGGTGACTTCAACATGTTCGCTGCGTGACATGTTTGGGAGTCTCACGCGAATGCCTGAGGTCCGAAACCAGCCCTCTTCCTCGCGTGAGTGCTGCAAGATGTTACAACCCATGTGGTTGAACGATCCGCCTTGAACCTGGTGCAGCCGTTGCAAACATTTAGTAGAATGTGCCAGTCGCTGGCGCGATAAACGCATTTTGAAACCGATCTGCCATCCACCTCTGTAAGGTATGCAACAATTGATGGCGATTGTTTGCGACGCTATATCGAAGCCGTCATTCCTGACGACGGCCCTCTATGTCATTCGCGAGGTTCTTCAACAACTATTCGAGACGAGTGCCAGCAGCCTTGAAGTGTTATGCGAGTTGCCAACACGGACTGCATCAGGGTCGGAAGTTGTGCGGAAGTTTCTTGCGAACGCACCCAGGGCCGGCCACGCCTGGCGGTGCTCGCGCGGACGCGGCCTCACAGCGCGCAGCGGGGGCCTCGAAGCGGTGTGGCGGCAGATCCATGCCGAGTGCGGCTACCGCGCAGCACGTCAGCATCCGGTGCCTGCCTGGGGCTTCTGCCGCTGGCGCTGCGCGGGCTGCGAGGAGTGCGGCACGGCGGCGCCGGGCCCAGTGCTGGGGGCGGCTTGCGGCGGTTGCGGCGCTTGGCTTGCAGCGCGGCGCGAGGAGGCAGTCCTCGACTCGGGGATGCAGCCGGCTGGCTGCCCGCTGGCCTTCCTCGAAGTCGTGGTGCGCTGCGCAGTTCTGGGCGATGCCGAGGGGCTCCAGGCTGCCGCGGCGGCATGGCGCGATCTGCCGGGACGCCGAGGCGGACAAGCACCTGCGTTACCCGTTGGGCGCGCGCTTGAGCGGATGGTGCCGCTCGCGCTCGAGAGGGGCGGCCGCCATGGCCGCGGCCCTGCAGGCGGCCGCCGCGCGCCATCGTGGAGGGGGAGGAGGAGGAGAAGGAGGACCAGTGTAAATCCAAAGCGCGTAAACGATGCTACAATGTTTTTTGCTCACTTACATTTATATACGTACATTAAAATAACAGGGCCCTGCTTCAAGTTAAACTTGGGAAGTGCCAGTGCCATCTTGACAGGCAGCTGTCTAACAATCTTCACTCTTGCCAAAGGCCATTTCTGGGCTGCCAGCGCCGCGAACCAACGTGACGACATCGTCTTGTGACTCCTGCATCGTGACGTACCACCATTTCTGGGACTTCAGCACCGCGAACCAACTTGATTGTTGCATTCGTGCTGAGACCTCTTCTTGAGACTGCAACCGTGCGCTTACATGAAACTGCTTCGAAGTTTCAAGAAGAAGGTGCGCGGCGCTAAGGTATTAACCACATTTCGAGAGAGCACGAGCCGCCATCCACCATTGCACGAATTGCAAACGTTGAAAACGAGCCCGCCATCCTTCCTTGAAACTGTTGCAAGGGTTGAGCGCCAGTGTGCGCGGCACTGAGGCGATAGCCACATTTTGATAACGACCCGCCCTCCATCCTGGAAAGGGTTTCGCATGTCAAGTTTCATGATTACAGGGCTTCAAATGTCAAGGGCTTCGCATGATGTGTCAGGCGAAGCGCCCAACCATCTTTGCAGACGCGATTGGGAAATGCGGCTGGGACGAAGTGCTCGTAAGTAGAACAGATGGAGCAGGCGGGATGATGAGGGGGAGTAGGTGGAGTAGGACGGGGACGGGGAACAAGCAAACGCGGAAACGAGAGGGAGAAGAGGATCGGGTGGATGTTGAGGAGGAAAAGGAGGTTGCAGGGGAGAAGAAGGCGGAACTGGATGGGGAGGAGAAGGAGGAGGAAGAGGAAAGGGAGGGAGGCGGATCCATGGAACACCGCCGATGGCGCAGAGGAGATTCTCGACGGGGCTTGGAAGGAGACGGAACGCGGCGGGCCAGAAGGCCGCCACCAAGTGAGCGCCGAAGACGAGCACCATGAGCGGACGAGGGGGGACCAGGGAGGGCCAAGCATGCACGCAAGCGGCGATACCGGAACCTTCTTCCACCTCCGCTGCACCCCTCCTCCGCCTCCGGACGGCCTCGTCGCCCCGGGGGCCGCGAGCCGCGGCAGCAGCTCCCTGTCGTCGCCCGAGAGGCCGTGGGCGCTCGCCGTCGGGATGAGTGCGGTGGTGTCGTCGGGAGGGGCCCCCACCCGCGAAGCCAGGGCCGCCCTCCGCGCCGGCCGCATGGCTTCGCCGCGGGACACCATGGCCGCCAGCACCTGGCTCTCTGCCGCGCTCGGAGCGTCGCCCGCCGCCGCCGCCGCCGTTCTCCGCGGGCACCGCCGCCGCCTCGACGACCACCTGCCGCGACGCCGGAGCCGTCGGCCCACCCGCTGCCGCTGCCGGAGAGACGTCGGCGATCGCGCCAGGCACCGGCCTCGCGGCCCGCCGCCGCGCGGGCAGCGCCGTTCGCAGCGGGGCCCGCCACGTCGCGCGCCAGGGGCGGCGGCGCCTCCCGCGGGCGCGCGGGCGCGCTTGTGCGGGAGGCTCGGCCGCCACGCGGGCGCGGCGGGAGCCGCTGCGGCCGCCCCTCCTCGGAGGGGCGGCGTGGCTGCGGCAGGCGGAGAAAGCCGCGCGGCCTCCCAGATCCCCAGCCCCGACGACGCCCCGGGCACTGGGCGCCTGATGTCCGCCCCCGGAAGCAACACACGGATCCTTCCCCCCCCCCCCACACGAAACGTGATTCGGGAGTTATGGGTATGCTCACTCACGATACGAGCCGCAAAAAAGGAACGTTCAATCTACCACCCCCGTGACACATGAACTCGGCGTTCGGGGTATGCGATTTCATGGGTCGAACCGCCAACAATGAACGGCTCATTGCACCACCCCCTGAGAAAAACAACAATCGGGATGTCGGAGTAGGATGACTCACGCTACGAGCCACCAAACATCACCGGTTCAGTGTACCACCACCTTGACAATATCAACGGCTCATGTTCCGAACCCCAAGCATGAACGGTTTTTTTTTCGCACCTTCATGACACAATGAACAGTGCATTTTCTCAACCTCCGAACATGAACGTTCTCAACCGCTTGAAAGAGATGAACGGCTCACTTTGTCAGGGGTGTTTGCAACATGAATTGTCCTTTGTTGGGGGCTGGGGGAATGAATCGCTCCTGTTGTCAGGGGGGTGAACAAAAACCGTTCATGCTTTGTGGTTGGGAAGATGATCCTTCAGTTTGTCAGGGGGTGAGAAATGGACCGTTCATTTTTGGCGGCTCGCAGAACAAAACGTTCAGATCAGTCATGTTTTTTTTCGAACGGCGGAGACCTGAAACACATTTTTCGGAGCGGCGCAGGATGAACCAAATAAACTCGCTCTGAAGAAACATGTCTTGCATCCAAAGCTATTCAACATATACTTATTTCTATGCTTTGCTTCCGAATCGTAGTAGTATCATGCCTTGATGTGTCTGTTGGTCTCATGTGTCGTGATAGTATCATCCGCCTTAGCACTATTTTGTGTATGCTCCATGTGATGTTGGCGCGCCCCCCTCTTCCTCTCTTTCTCTCTCCCCCCTTCCTCGCCCTACCCCTTCTTTCTTCACCCCCCCGTTCCCTCCTGCCCCTTCTTCCCTCACTGCCTCCTTCCCCTCCTTCCCCTTTCTCCTTTTTGTGTGTCTTCCCCTCCCTTCCTCCTCTTTCCCCATCCCACCCCCCTCCCTCCCCTTCCCCCTCCCCCCTCCCCTCCCCCCCCCCCTCCCCCCTCCCGAGCCAGGGGCCGGCGCCGAGCTGCTCGGGCGCGGCGAGGCCGCGCTCGGCGACAGCGAGAAGGGCCTCCTGGAGCACGCCCGCAGGTTCGCGGCACCGGCGCTTCGTCGCTGTCGCCGCCGCCGTCGCGGACGAAAACGACGGCGTCGATGACCACGACAACGACCCAAGGAGGTGGAGAAGGAGGAGGAGGACGACGAGGGCGAGGACCAGGACGAGGAGGAGGAGGAGGAGGAGGAGGAGCAGGCCCCTCAGCAGGCTCTAGTGGCTCTGAGGGTCTTGGGGTCTGTCCAGAGAGCGGGTTCGAATCGGAGAAGGAGGAGGAGGAGGAGGAGGGAGGAGGGAGGAGGAGGAAAAGGAGAAGGAATGACAGCTGGAGGAGCAGATGTAGCAGCCGAAGGTGCAAGTGGAGGAGGAGGAGGTGGAGGTGGCGCCTAGCGAGGAACGCACGGAGGAGGAACAGCAGCCGACGCGCTTCGAAAGAGTGCTCGGCAGCCTCTGGGGAGAGGAGGGCAGAAGGTGGCGGAGAGGGAGGGGGGTCGGAGGGGGGACTTGCAGACGGAGGTTGGAGGGCACAGCGCATCATCACCGAGCGGCGGGTCTCTTCGGCGGCGCGCCGCGCAGCGCAGCTGCCAGGGGTGACTGGCCAAGCCGGCACCGCGCTGGGGCGCCAGCGGCCGCGCTGTTCGTTTTTTGGGTCCGCGAGACACGGGAAGGCCCTATTCTTGGGGAGCCTAGGGCTTCCATGGGGCTCGAGAACGAGGTCCATAACAACGAGCAGGGGGATGAGGATGACCACGACAACGACGACGACCATGTTGCGGACATGAGAAGTGAGAAGGTCCTTTGGCGTTTATGTTTGTTACCATCCTTATCTTTTTTACGCACCCTTGAAGTTTATGGACAAAACCATTATGGGTGGCATGTTCTCCTAGAAGTTTTCGGTCTTCAAACCATTTAGTTGCCCAGCTGCCTGCGGCAAGTCCAGCCACCGTGCCAGCCCAGCATCCTGGGTGGGGACTGATCGAGGGGGGCTCGGGAGGCAGCCGTGCATGGTACCACGTGCCTCCAGGCTTGGGGTATGCGTGATGAGTGTTCGTGTCGAGGGTAGTATCGGTTATGCTGATAAGTGTGATGGTGGTGATGACGATGATGGTGGTAATGGAGATGATAATGGTAATGGTGAGGGTGATGGTGATGGTGACGTTGATGATCACCGTGGTGGTGTTATTGCTGATGATGACGATGGTGGTCATGCAACTGATGACGATGACGATGGCGAAGATTACCATTGCGATGTCGATTACGATGGCGATGACGATGGCGCTGGTCATGATGGGGGTGATGAGGATGGGGCTGTGGATGATATTGAATATAATATTGGTGTTCAGGATGTAGAGGCTAATGATGACCATGTTGTTGTTGTTTGGGTCTGTTTACGTGGGGAAGCATCGTAATGATGGTGATGGTGATGATGAAGATGGTGATGGTCATGATGAAATGGGGATGGCGTTGGTGGTGGTAGTGGTGATCATGATGCTGGTAGTGATGGTGATGCTGGTGGTGACGCGGATGGTAGTGTTGATTGTGATGATTATGGTGGTTTTGATGATGGTGTTGATGATGAGGATTATGCTGACCATGGTAGGGATAAACATGGCGATGCTAATGATGGTGGCGGTGGTGCTGACGATGATGACGGCGGTGGCGACGATGATGATGATGATGATGATGATGATGATGATGATGATGATGATGATGATGATGATGATGATGATGATGATGATGATGCAATTCGTTTGGGCCGTCCTGTGGCTGCCTCGGCCTTTGGTGATGCAGTGTTGGGAGTCTTTTCGGGCCCTCTTGGGCAGTGTCGTTTCCCGCTTGCGCCGACTTGGGGCTTTTTATAGGTCGTTCTGCGGCCCTCTCGGCCGTATGATGGGTGTCTGGGGGCCGTCGTGGGGTCGTGTTGGCGCCGTCTTGGGCCGTCGAAGGGCTTTGTGGGGCCGTCTTGGGTCCCGCGGGAGGCACTCCTGGGCGGTTTGGGGCCGTCTTGAGTTGACGGCAGTCCGAAAAAGACTAGACTGCGAATCTCATCCAACAACCCAAGGGTAATCAATGCTTTTAGCTTTGCAATACCCTAGGGGCGGTCCTCTTTTGGCCATTTTTGGGCCCTCTTGGATCTATCTTGGGTCAAGATTCGGCCACCATGGGGCCCGTTTGGGTCACGTCGATGCATCTTGGGCCATCTGGGTGCCCTTGGTTGCCTCCTCGGCCGTCTTGGAAGCTGGGGACGCGTATCCGCATTTGTTTAGCATGACAGTGGAGCGTGGCTTGGGAGGCCCAGGAGCGCTTGGGAGCAGCGCCTAGGAATGCGGAGAGTGCGCGATCCTCAAGCCGGTGCACGTGGGATGCGGGGCCTAGGAGTTAGCAGCCACGCGGGAGGTGCACAATCCTCGAGACGGCGCGCATGCAATGAGGCTTCAGGCATTAGTTGCCACGCGGGAGGTGTACCACCCTCGAGCGGGTACGCGTGGAAAGAAGGTTCAGGCACTGTCTCCATTGCTGGACGTGCCCCCCGTTCTTTGGCGGGCACTGTTGGAAAACATGGGATTCGGGCATGAGCTGCCATGCTGGAAATTCATTACCCTCGAGCGTGCACGCGGGAAGTGGCCTCGGAGAGGAGGGATTGTGCACGCAGGAGCTTGTTGGTAGAGGGAGGGGCTGTCCCTCATCAGAACTCATCAAGCGTTACCCTTAAATCGGGCCTGTCCCCCAACAGGGGGATTTTCGACGAAAAATAAAAAAAATACCCCAAACATAGTCTGAGGCTTAATTTTTGAGTATGTTTTGACCTTTCTAGGGCATTTAGGGCATTTTTCTTTTTTAATATTTCGTCGAAAATCCCCCTGTAGGGGGACACGCCCGACATAATGGTAGAGGGAGGGGCTGTCCCTCATCAGAACTCATCAAGCGCTACCCCCTGCCAGACAGACCTTGGCATCCTTCCACGCCTCAGCGTGCCATGGGGGCACGCTGGCGTAGTGCGGTCACCGACTCGACAATGATTTGGAAGTCTCGAGCGATAGCGCCGTTCCTCATTGCGGGGGCATCTTTGGCGCCAGGTCCTTCCGGGGAAATGTGTGTGAAGTATTTGGCGGGAGCCGTTGTCGTTGCGAGAGCGCCACTTCTGAAGGTCAGGGGCCGTTCTGGCAATGACGTCTCGCGCGGTGCCGTTGTCGTCCCAGGCGGGCCAGCACCCATTGGTTGAATTGCGAAGACCTATCCAGCGAGAGCGCCGTTTCTGAATTTCAAGGCCTGTCTGGCCAGGGCCTGTCGGAGTCAATTGTGGGATCGTATCGTGCGGCAGCCGTTGTCGCAGTACTCGGCCCCCGCTGGCTTGATTGAATTGCGATGAAGTCAAAAACGAGAGCGCCGCTCTTGAGTTTTGGGGCCACCAACTTGCCTGATATGCGAAGAAATCCCTGGCGAGAGCGCGATTCCTGAGTTAGGGGGCCTGCGATGGCGTCTCGGAGTGCGTTGTGAGGAAGTATCGAGCCGAAACAGTTGTCGTCGTAGTCGGGCTTGCACCATCTGGACTGACTTGCGAGGAAGTCTCCAACGTGAGCGCCGTTTCTGAGTTTGGGGCTCTGGCCAGGGCTCGTCGGAGTATGCTCTGGGAAGTCTCGTGCGGAAGCACGATGTCGTCGTAGCAGCTGGGTCTCCACCGACTTGGCTGAATCATGGGGACGTCCCAAGCGAGGGTTCCGTTTGTGAGATTGGGTGCCTCTCGGATCCGGGCTTCGCGGAGTAACTCATGCGGAGGTATCGGGTTGTCGTTGTAGTTGAGGTTTCAACGCATGCGATTGGAATCCGGGGCCTCGCGCGAGCGGGAGACCCCAGCTTTCAAAGAAAATGCATGCGGCGCCGAGGCGAGAACACCCAATGTCGTTTACACAAGAAGTGAGTCTTCAACGAGAGTGACGACGAACAAGGGGTTGGACGAGGAGGAGGAGGAGGAGGAGGAGGAGGAGGAGGAACAGGAACAGGAGGAGGAGGAGGAGGAACAGGAGGAGGAGGCGGAGGAGGTGGAGTAGGAGGAGGAGGAAGAGGTGGAGGAGGACGAGGACGAGGAGGAGGAGGAGGAGGCATGGAGTAGTGGACCCCAGGCGGTGAAGCACGGCGCTCCCCCGAGGCAGCCGATCACACCCCCGGCGCCTGCCAGAGGGGAGCGGGTGCGGAGCACGTGGGGAGCGGGCGGGGGACAGTGGAGCAGCGCCGCGTCGCCCCGCGATCTCGCCGCTCGGACGAGACGGCAGTGCTCGCGCACGAGGGATGGTCGCTTCGCCTCGTCACCGCGAAGGGGTATGAGCGTGGAGGAGGAGGAGGAGGAGGAGGAGGAGGAGGAGGAGGAGGAGGAGGAGCAGCAGCAAGAGGAGTTGACTGAGGAGGAGGAGGAGGAGGACGAGGAGGAGGAGGAGGAGGAGGAGGAGGAGGCGAAGGTGCTTCCCGAGGACCACCCCAGCAAAATCGACTTGCATGTGCAACTGGGTTGGTGCCCAAGGCTTTGAGGGGGGGGGCCGAATATGAGGAAGGAGGGGCCCATCCTCCCCCGTTCGCGCGAGCCCCAGTTTTCAAAGAATATGCGGGCGGCGTCGAGGCGAGAACGCCCAGAATCGCTTCTATGAGAAGTGAGTGTTCAACGAGAGCGGCGACGACCACGGGGGGTAGACAACGAGGAGTTGGGAGAAGAGGCTCTGAGGGGGGTCGGGGGGGGGACAGGAGGCCCTGAGCTTCTGAGGAGGAGGCTGTGAAGATGAGGAGGAGGAGGAGGAGGAGGAGGAGAAAGAGAAAGAGGAGGGGGAGGAGGAGGAGGAGGAGGAGGAGGAGGAGGAGGAGGAGGAGGAGGAGGAGGAGGAGGAGGAGAAAGGCGAACCCATCCTTCCCCGCCTCCCCGCTTGCGTGCCCCCCTCCCAGATCCCCGACGGCATGATTTTCTTTCGCAACGTCGAACCCCCGAGGTCCCGACCCGTTCCCCAGGACGGGCTTCGCATCCCCAGCTGTTTATTCCCAACCATTCCGTGGCATTGGGTCTTCGCCGCGCGTCGCCCATCCGCGCCTCTTCTCCCAGCCCTGCCTCTGTTCTCCGCATGTCCATGTCGGCACACCCCTCGCACTGTTCGTGGCCCCATAGGGAGCTCCACCGAAGGCCCCTGTGGCACGGTATGCATGGCGCCGCCGCCCGATTTCGGCACACCGCTCACACGGTTCGTGGCCCCACAGGGACTCCACCGAAGGCCTCAGAGGTAGGGTCCCTATGGCGCCGCCGCCCCATTTCGACACACCTCACACGGTTCGCGGCCCCATAGGAAGCCCCACTGAAGGCCCCGGTGGCAGGGTCCGCATAGCGCCGCCGCCCTATTTCGGCACACCCATCACGCGCTTTGTGGCCCCATAGGGATTCCCCACGAGGGGCCCAATTGTCATGGTCCACATGGCGCCGCCGCCCCATTTCGGCACACCCCTCACACGGTTCGGGGCCCCATAGGTAGCCCCACCGAAAGCCCCGGTGGCAGGGTCTGCATGGCGCCGCCGCCCCATTTCGGCACACCCCTCACACGGTTCGTGGCCACATAGGGACGTCCACCGGTGCCACCGTCCACATGCGTCCCCCCCCACCCTCTTCAGTACACCTCTCACACGTTACTTGGCCCCACAGTGAGCTCCACCGAAGATGATATTCACAATTGCGTTGCTCACAACTGCATATGATTGGGTCTTCCGCCAGGCTGATATTTTCGTTGACGCCCCCGAGGCCCGGTACGGGACCCCAGGGGCCGACGATAGGGAAACCCCCCCTGGTCGTGAATTTGTTCAGGGCCAGACTGGGCGAAGAGGAGTATGCACGCTGCACTGGTCCGGGCCAGGTCCAGCCTGGGCCCAGGAGATCGGTGCATGCGCCCTCCTGGCTGAGGCAGGAAGGCGGCGGCTGCGGTACACCGATCCTGGGCGCAGGCTGGGGCCTGACCAGGGCCGCTGTGTGTGCACAGCTTGAATCGGGCATGTCCTGTCGACAGGACGGAAACTCAATGATAGCAGAACAATACTATGGCGACGATGTTCCGTGCTCTCTTGAGTATCATAGATTATGTTTGCGGCTACTTGTCATTTTGTGGTTGTTCCAAAATCTGCCTGAAGGAGGACATGCCCGACCTACAGTCGGGGCGCTCATCAAGAAACCATCTGCTTCTCGTCAGGGGACCCCTGGTTTCTTCCCTCCGCGCGCTGCCTGGTGACTTCCCGCGGCCGCCAAAGCAGCTGCTGCGTTCAGGGTGCTCGAGGTTTCCCTTCAGTTGCACCTCGCGCGCGGGCTTTCAGGGTTGAGTCTATTGCGAGAGTTTCTTGCGGCCGCGCCCGCACACTAGTCAGGAAGGAACAAAAACACACAGACACGATGCATCGTCGATTCCCCTGGAGACCTGGGAAAACATAGGAAGTGGGGGGAATACAACATCCCAGAATATATAGGAAAACATGGTGGCACCCTTTTTCGTGTCTACTCCTAAGTCGGGCCTGTCCCTCTACAGGAGGCAAATTCAAAAGTAGTCAAAAGAAGCAGTCCAGGGACTATGTTTTCAGTATTCTTTGGCCATTTGGGAGTATGTTTTGAGTATCTGTTATTTTTCGTCGAGACCCCCGCTGTGTGGAGGACACGCCCGACTTAAGTCTACTCACTTGTGTGTTCCAGGGCCCCCTCGTACCTGCACAGCTCCTGCCCTTCCAGCTACAGGGAGCCTGGGCCCCCCCGCCTGGACCTCCGGGGGGGGGGGGCAGGGGCGCGGGGCCCTGCGCGGAGCGGCGCGGGCCGTGCTGCGGCCCAGCTCGCCCCGAGGAGGACGATCGAGGCCCTCCTCTTCCTCCTCCTCCTCCTCCTCCCTCCTCCCTCCTCCTCCTCCTCCTCCTCCCCCCTCCTCCTCCTCCTCCTCCTCCTCCTCCCCCTCTCCTCCACCTGCTCCTCCTCCTCCTCCTCCTCCTCCTCCTCCCCCTCCTCCTCCTCCTCCTCCTCCTCCTCCTCCTCATCCTCCTCCCCTCCCCCTCCGGAGGTGCGGCGGTCGCTGCTCCTCCTCCTCTTCCTCCCCTCTGTCCTCCTCTGTTATCCTCCTCCTCGATCCTCGATCCCCCTTTCTTTGCGTTGGCAAGGCATGAGCATCTAGTCTGTTGTGTTCTTTCATTGCCTCGATCCCCCTCGTCATCCTCCTAAGGTGCGGTCGCTCTTCATCGTCTTCTCATTCTTCTTCTTCTCAGCATTATTATCCGTAGTCGCATTATTAGCTGTATTATTGTTCCTCCTTCTCCTCATCCTCCTCTTCTTCTTCCTCCTCCTCCTCCTCCTCCTCCCCTTTTCGTCTTCCTCCTCCTCCTCTTCCTCCTCCTCGTCGTCCTTTCCCTTCTCCTTCCTGCCGCAGGCGTCCCGGAAAGCACGTGCAGCTCTTCCGGAAGCTGCAGACGAAGTGGCAGGAGACCCCGTCGGACCATGACGATGACGACGGCGACGGCGACGGCGAAGGCGACGGCGGTGGCTTGGGTCGGCGGCGGCGACGGAGACTACCGCCGGAGATGCAGTCGAAGCGGCCGGCCCATGATGGCGTTGATAGCGACGCTGATGCTGATGCTGCTGGTGGTAGTGATGATGACGATGTTGATGTTGATTAGTCATGAGGATGAGGGTGTTGTGACGGTTTTCAGGATGACGATGATGAGGATAAGGATGATGATGAGGATGATGACGATTATGCTGATGCTGATGATGCTGATGATGATACTGATGATGACGATGACGGTAATGGTGATGTTGTTGATGAGGTTGATGATGAACGTGATGGTTATGTTGATGGCGGCGAATATGATGGAGTGATGATGTTAAAGATGATGGAAACGACGAGTCCTATACGTTGGCTTGATGATGGCAATGCGGTTCTGATAATGATGAGGGTGGTGGTGGTGATGATGATGATGATGATGATGATGATGATGATGATGATGATGATGATGATGATGATGGTGATCATGGAATGGGATCAGTAGGTTAGACAGGGCTAAAGGCGTGCCACTACCTGAACTGCTGCCCACCCCCTTCGTAGAGCTCGCACCAGCGGGCCGTTTCCTTATGTGCGAGGCGTTGCCGTTGTTCAAGGAATCCGCCCATGAGTTTCTGCACGGGCTTTGGTGCTGCCTGGTCGCTACGTGTTCCTTTGGACGATGAGAGAGGACGAGGAGGGGCAAGAAAGGATAACGAGGAGGATGAGGATGATGTGGGTTAGGAGGACGAGGACCAGAAGGAGAAAGGGGGGTCGAGACGGGAACTATGAGAATGAGAATGAGAAGGAGGAGGGAAGGGGGAGGAGGAGGAGGACGAGGAGAAGGAGGGGATGACGGACGATAATGAAAAAGGGGGAAGGAGGGCGACGAGGAGAAGGAGGAGGGGAGATGACGAGGAGGACACTCGCAGGATGACGAGAGGAGGAGAAGGGGCGCAGGTGAAAACGAGGAGGCGAAGGACGACGATGAGACGAAAAAGGAGGAGGAGGCTGAGGAGGCGGAGGTGGACGAGGGGATGACGAAGACGGTGGACCAGACTCACCCACCCGATAGTTGGTTCGCAAAACCAATGCGGTTGTGATTGCAATGATTGCTCCGCGCTGGCTGGCACAACGCCACGGCTGCACAAGCGCGCAAGCTCTCGCGCAGAGAGCCCAGCTAGTCTGGCGCGACCGGCGCGGCCGCGGTAGCGCTGACCGCTGGGGACCGTTTCAGCGCGTTTCGCAGTCCGCGCTGATTCGCGGGTACTCCAGTGCGAGCGGATGGCTTGGGCGGGCGCGGTGCCATAGCGACGTCGGCAAAGGCGAACATGATGATATTGGCGATGATGGTTACCATGATGGCGATGACGACGGCAAGGCCAGTGAAGGCGCCGATGTTGGTCACGTCGCGCCGGTGACGATGATTGTGCCCACGTGTCTGTGATGAAGGGTTTGGAAGGATTTCGACATGCGCGCGCGGCAGACGCGCGCCAGTGCCTTGCATGGTCTTTTTTGGCAGGGGTCGTGCCCCCCCAGCAAACGCGAAACGGTGTCCGAATGATTTCGGCACGCACGCGGGAGGTCCGCATGGTTCCACGATTCGGAAATATTGAAAAACAATTGGTTGTTGCAACATGTCGCAAGAGCGTGCGCGCACATTTGTTTGGCAAGCCATGTGGCAAACCATGTGGTATGTAAATTGTTTCGGGGAGGTCGATGTCGAAATCTGTATTCAAATTCGCTCGCATGGAACGGCTCCATTGCTTGCAATGGTTTTTTTTGCATTGGAAGCATTTTGACCGACGAATGCGCGCGCATAGTATGATTTGACTGGGGAAGGGGGCTCGCATGGAATGGGTTGAATTTGTGTGTAATAGTTTAAGATAATAGTTTAAGATGGACGATGTGGCAGAACCGCATGTGTTCTGCAGTGTCCCAAGGGGGATAATACTGTGGGGAAGGAAGGAGTCTATATTGGGAAGGATTTGCGGCGGGTGCCTCTGACCCAGAAAGGGGACGGCGACGACGACGACGACGACGGCGGAAGCGACGACGACGACGACGACGGCGGAGGCGGCGGTGCCGACAGAAACGTCGCTGACGTTATGGAACCTTTTCTTGGAGCGCGATTGGGAGGTTATTGGGTTTGCTGGGGAGCCCCTTCGGGAACTTATTGGGAAACTCCTTGGCCACCTGGGGCCGCCTCGGAGCGGATCAGAAGCCTATGGGGAACATGTGGGAAATTGCGCAGCACCCTTCAACAGCAGATAGGAGTGAGGATGGTGCCGCCGGGGGGGGGGGGGTCGGGAGGAGGGGGTAATGGTGGTGGCCCCCTTTCCCACAGGGGTGGGGTCGGTGGGGGGGGGTCCTGCCTTCCCCGCCCAAAAACAAAGACCCCCATCGGGGCCACCACCGCTACACCCCTGGGGAACACCCCCAGGACCCCCCACCCCGACACGACCATGTTTGATGTCCGTCTGGCTGGATCTCTTGAGGAGGAGGGCCGTGGGAAAGGAGTGAAGCGGCGACGGCGACGACGACGCGGACGACGGCTCAAGCGGAACATCGTTTCACACACCGTTTTTTTTAGAAGAGCAGAGTATATGTGATGCATTTTGCGGAGCAGCGCATGTTTTGCTATCTGCCCCTCCGAACTTGAAATTGTCAAATCTACTGCCCGCGCAATCATCCCATTCACCAGCCCGCATTCTGGTCTGCAAAACCAATGCGGCGGCGATCGCGATAGCCTCTTGTCGCTGACGGGCACCTCGCTGCGGCCGCGCGAACTCGCGCAGGCTCGCGCGCTGAGCGGTCAGCGAGTCTGGCGCGACCGACGCGGCCGCGGTGGCGCTGACCGCTGGGCGCTTCCCAGCGCGCCACGCAGGCCGCGCTGCCGGGCGGGCTTCAGTGCGAGTCGGTAGTTTGTGCGGGCGCGGTATCATGGCGTCGGCTACAACGACAGACGCGATGTTGATACTAGCGATTTTGGTGGCGATGGTGACAACGATGACGGCCCGGCCAATGACGGCGCCGAAAGTGAGCACGCCGATGACAATGATGATGCCTACTTGTCGGTGGCGCAGCTTTTGGGCGGATTTCGATATGCGCGTGCGGCCGACGCGCGCGAGGGGCCCGAACGGTTTTACTTGACAGGGATCGTGATTCCCCCCTAGCACTCGCGCAAGGGCGCCCGAATGATTTCGACATGCGCTCGCGAGAGGACCATTTCGGCGCATTGGATGCACATTTTGAAGCAACTGGTCTTCTTGGGAATCGCAGAAGCGCGCAGATTGTTGTCGGAACTCGCGTTCCACAGCCATGCATGTGTTAATTGATTTTGGGGCACTCGATATTGGTATCCTGGCGAAGTTTTTGTTTTTTGTTTGAAGGGTGTTTCGGCATGCGCGCGGAAGGTCGTGCGTGTGCGCACGTCGGCCCAATTGGTGCAGTTTGTTTTTGCACGCGGATGGTTTTGGATAGGCCAGTGCGTGCATAGTATTATGTGGCGAGGATGAGGAGGGCGGTCGATACCGGTTCGGCTGGGGTGGTATGAATTCATTTTCAATATGAACGTTGGGCTTGTGTCACAGATCCATCCCCAGAAGGGGAACGGATCACCCCCCAGTGGTGTTGTTCCGAATTTATTTTGAACGGAAAGAATAGATGCTGTGCAATCTATGCGTTGCTATCAGCGTGGGCCAATCTATTTGGTGCATTCTGTTTTGTGCAACTCACGTGGTGCAAAGCATGTGGTACAATCCACGTTGGGTATTAACATGGTTTGTAATACGTTTGGCGCGGCATACGCTGCGCAAGGGATGTCGTGCAACATATGTTGTAAATTATATGTCGTGCTATATGTTGTGCAGCCAATGGTGTGCAGTTCGGGTGGTGCTGTTGAAATGGTGCACTTGTGTTGTACAATGTATGCGGTACAATGCTTGCTGTGTTCTTGGCGTGATGCAACCTACGATGCGCAATGCATGTGGAACAATTTAACTCGTTGCAGTCCACACTTCCGAACTTGAAGTTGTCAATTCCTGTGCCCACGGAAACATGACACCCGCCCAACCGCAACATTGTTTCGCAAAGCAATGCGGAAGCGTTTGCAATTAGTGCTTGGGGTTGCCTGGTGCATCCCCGTGGCCGCTGTAGCCCGCGCGTGCTCGCGCGCTCAGCGACCAAGCTCGTGCGGGGCGACCGACGCGGCTGCGGTGACGCTGATCGCTGAGCACTTCCAGCGGGCATGTCAGTGCTAGTCGGTGACGTGGGCGGGCGCGGTATCACGGCAACGCCGACAATGGTAGACGCGATGATGAGGGTAGCAATGATGGTGGCGAGTGTGGCGATTACGACGGCAATGCCAATGACGGCGCCGACATTGATCACGCCCGCCGATAATGATGACGTTGTCCTCGCGTCGGCGATAAAAGGTTTTTGGAGGAGTTCGACATGCGCGCGCGGCCGACACGCGCGAGTGGCCCGCGTGGCATTATTTGACGTGGATTCTGCCGCCCCCCCCCCCAGCACGCGCGCAAGGGCGCCCGGATGGTGTCCATATGTGGCGCGAGAAGCCCATTCGGCAGAATGTGTTGGGAATGACTCTAACAACCGTTTGGGTTCTTATATAAAAAACAACCAGCGCGCGCAGGCATTTTCTGTTAATTGACGATGCAAACCTATGTATTTTGCACGTTTTCGGGGTACTCGTGTTGACAATGCGTAGTCTGGTTTGGGAACTTGTTCGGGACACTCGCCCTGTGTTTGAAGGATTTCGGCACGCGCGTGCGCGACGACGCGCGTTTGCGACAGCACGCGCGCAAGGGCGTCCGGACGAATTTACCACGCGCGCGCGAGAGGCCCGTTTGGAGGCATCTTATGAAACATCTGATTTCCGCAAGGATTCGCCACAACGCAGGGCGCATATTTTTCCCAACCAACCTGTGGTGTTACGTCCTCGTTTTTGGAGACGGTCCCCGCGTTCCTTCCTCCTCCTCCTCCCGTTGCCCTCCCCTAATTACCGTCATCATCATCATCATCATCATCATCATCATCATCATCATCATCATCATCATCATCATTCACATCATCACCATCATCATCATCATCATCATCATCATCATCATCATCATCATCGTCTTCCGTAGTTTCGTGGCCCCATAGGAAGCTCCACCGAAGGCCCCAGTGGCACCGTCCATATGCGTCCGCCACACCCATTTCGGCACACCCTTCCCTAGTTTCGTGGCCCCATAAGGAACCCACCGAAGGCCCCAATGCTACCGTCCACATGCGCCTGCCACACCCATTCCGGCGCACCACTCACACGCTTGGTGGCCCCATGGGGAGCTCCACCGATGGCCCCAGTGGCATTGTCCACATGCGCCCGCCACATCAATTTCGGCATACCCCTCACACGTCTCGTGGCCCAATAAGGAGCTCCAACGAAGATCATACTCACAACTGCGGTGCTCACAGCTGCATATGGTTGGGTCCTTCGCCAAATTCTTCAAACATATATCAAAACATGTTTTTGTGTTTTGCGAAACCATGTGTGCTTATATGTTTTCGGGGAACCCGGTTTTGGAATCCACGCGAAACCAAAAGTTTGTGAAGGATTTCTGTATCAACCCGCCACGACGCGCGCATGTGCACTGCGTCTGTTTCTTGCAAGGGGCTATTGATAACTGATGAGTGTGATAAAACGAGTGCGCGTGCATGATACCTGTGGCAGAGGATGAGGGGGCGAACTCCAGCCTGCTTATGATGGTATGAACTTATTTTTCGGATGGGCGATTGGGCAGAATTCGCATGTACACTGCACATCCCCAGGGGGTAGTAGTAAGTCCGGCCTCCGGAGGGTGGTGGATCCAATTCGCTGAGAGAAAGGAGAATATATGGTGCGCATCCTAAGTGGGATTGTGTATGTGGATGAATACATGTCGCGCGACCGATGATCTACAATATATGTGCGATCCGCACTGCCAAACTTGGAATTGTCAACTCCACTGCTCGCGCAATCATCCCACCCGCCAGCCCGCAGCTTTGTCAATCCCATGCGGCGGGGATTGCGATGAATGCGCGGCGCTGGCTGGCGCATCGTCGCGGCCGCGCTGTCGCGCATGATTGCGCGCGAAGCGGCCAGCTAGTTTGGCGCGCCCGACGCGGCCACGGTGGCGCTGACCGCTAGTCACTTTCCAGCGCGCCCCGCAGGCCGCGCTGTCGCGCGGGCTTTTTAGTGCGAGTCCGTGGTTTGGGCGGGCGCGGTATCATGGCGTCGGCGACAACGGCAGACACGATGTTGATAGTAGCGGTACTGGTGGCGTTGATGAGCACACCGACGACGATGATGGTGTCCACGTGTCAGTGGCACACGTTTTGGGCGGATTTCGACGCGCACGCGCGGCCGACGCGCGAGAATGGCCCGCATGGTATTGTTTTGGAAGGATTTTGCCCCCGCAGCACGCGCGTAATGGCATTTGCATGATTTCGACATGCGTCGCGACAGACCCGCTTGGCCGAAGTAGGTGATCTGGTTGAGAAGCCTATGGTATGCTTCAGAATTCGCAGGAGCGCGTTTCTAACACTGATGTAGAAACACCGTGTGTACTTGTATTTGTTTTCGGGACACTCGTCCCAGCTGTTCTAAGGGATTTGTGCCACAGCGCGCGCAAGGGCGCTCGAACGATTTCGGCACGCGCGCGTGATAGGCACGTTTGGTAGCATGTGATTCAGTGATGCAAATGTTGGACCCCATTGCTTTTTGTGGATTTGCAACAGCGCGAGCGCAGGCTTTCTTTGAAACGTCGTGTTGCGGAGCTTTGTGTTTGTATACGCGTGTGTGATTGTATATGTTTGCTGGGCGGTCGGTTTTGAAATCCCGGCGATCCTCTAAGTTTTTGTTGCAGGACCTTGGTATGTGCGCGCCACGACGCGCGTTTGTGCAGCTTGTCTTTTTGTGCAACGGGCCATTGACCATTGCAGACTTTTTGATTCAACGATTGCGCGCGTAGTATTCTTGGAAAGGATGATGGAAGGATTACCAGTTCAGTTGGGGGATCATGAACTCATGTTTAGGGTGGGGCAGCATCGTATGTACACGGCGAGACGCGAGGGGGACCCATTAACTCCGGGGGGGGAGGGGGGAGATCTTACTAGTGCTTTAGAAAGGAGAACATGCGTGGTGCAATCTTTGTTGTGCACTCCCACGTGGATATGTATGAGGCAATCTCTTTTGTGGAATCTATGTGGAGCAACCTTTGTGTCGGCGTCGAGGCGGCGATGGGGCGGCGACGGGGCGGCGATGGCGGCCACTAACCGCCAGACCAGCCGCCAGGCCCAGACAGCAGGCGACGACGAAACGGCGACGGCGGACACATAGCCGCCAGACTGGCCATCAGGCCCAGTTTCTCAGAGGAGCGAGCTGCATGGCACGCGGCACTGGGGGGTCACACCAATCATGACGTATTTTGCAAGGGCGAAAGCTCAACCCGCACCGCAGAAGCCTTTTTTAACGGCCACGCAACCATAGACCGTGTACTACCGTTTGGTCCCCTAACGAGATTTTCCCGGGGGCGGGGCTGGAGGTGCAATTGCCCAGGAATTTCGCGCAACATGTTGCAGACAGCCGGCTGGATATCTATTACGCATTACCGGATTGTTCGCAGGGGCCATAATTAAAGGCAGCACGTGGTGCCCGACACACAACACAACATTATACAATACAACACAGCACAACACAGCACAACACAGCACAACACAACACAACACAACAAAACACAACACACAGTGGTTGGCGTCGCGGTTGTGCGGATGAGTACCGTACAATGCAGTTCAGCGGCGGTTGATCTTAGCATGTGTCGCATCATTGGATGGACTGTATGTCGCCTCTGCATTTCTCGGTTGCTTCTCCGTGCGTGTGTGCTTCCTGACGCTTCACGACGATGCCATGCAGAAGGGCCGTCCGTTCCATCATGTAGGGTGGAATGCGCGATTTGAGGATGAGAAGGAAGGCCACGAGCAGGAGCGGCATGGGCAGGCGAGAAGCTGAATGCGCGGGAGGATCGGGAGTGTAAGGAGCATGGGATACATGGATTGGGGAGGGAGTGGGAGAGGCGTTGCTTCACGAAACATACTTCCCTGCCAGTGCTACGACGCGTATGCTCGAGTCGCAATGTCCGTGCTGGCCCCAGTCGCCTGATCGCGATGACGTGGTCATGGTGTGCGCCAGAAGCGACTTGGACATGTTAGGGCAGCCGTGTAGACAAAGTTCTGCCGGCGAGGAGCCCAACCACATGCTTCGTGAGTAACGCATTTGTGAGAGTCGTCTTCGGTGGATCTCCTATGGGGCCACGGAGCGTGCAAGGAGTGCCGAAAGGGGTCGGCCGGACGCGCGTGGACCTTCCCAGTGGGGCCTTCGGTGGAGCGCCATTGGGGCCACGAAACGTGTGAGGGGTGTGGACGCATGTGGGCCTTCACACTGCTTCAGTGGAGCTCCCTGTGGGGCCACGGGAAGTGCGAGGGGTGTGCCGAAGTTGGTCGAGCGGACGCATGTGGGCCCTCGCACTGGGGCCTTCGGTGGAGCTCTCTCTGGGGCCACGAAGCGTGTGAGGGTTGTGCCGAACTGGGATGGGCGGGCTCATCGTGTGGACCCTCCCACCAGGGCTTTTGTGACGCTCCCCATCAGACCACGAAACGTGTGAGAGGTGCGCCAAAATGGGTCGGGCGGACGCATGCGGACCCTCCCACTGGGGCCGTCCGTGGAGCTCCCTGTGGGTGGCCACGAAACGTGTGAGGGGCGTGCCGGCATGTATCGGCGGACTCATGTCAGCCCTCCCGCTGAGCGGATCTTTCCGTGGAGCTCCCCGTTGGGCCCCGAAGCACGCACTGCCATCGCTGGCTTTGCACCTCCAGCGCCGCCCTGGGCCGCCCAGGGGCGCCCCGCGGCGGCGGCTCGGGCCACCGCGCCGTCGATGGTGGTGAGAGGCGAGCGTTCGCCTGCGGCGCCTGTGCCAAGGGAGGCGTGGGCCACGTGCTCAAAGGAGAAGAGGTCCCCGTGCCGCTGCCCTGCCCCCGTTTTCCCCTCTCTAGGCCTCCTGGGAGGCCCTCGTCGCAACGGCTGGAGTCGCTCCGAAATTCCGGTCAGAACGCACCCCGGGAGAGGTCTGGGGATCAGCGGTATCGGTACCTGGTGGTTTCCCCAGATACGGTAGATTCGAGGAGGATCGAGGAGGATCGAGGTGGTCTGGGGATCGAGCAGGCTCGGGGATCGAGTGGGATCGAAGAGGATGGAGGAAGATCGAGCATTAAGGATCGATGAGGATCAAGCCTGCTGCGGCTGTGCTAAGTTGGGCGTGAACCAGATACTGTTCAGCATCGTGTTCTTCCTCGTCATCACCACGAACGTTCAGGACACGCTCTCGCTCGGGTGCTTGCGAATAGGGCGCAACAAACCGGACGACGTACACATCTCGTACACCTTTTGGGCCCACCGGGGCAATTCATCATCGAGCACAGAAGAACCCCTAACCCGAATAGAACGTTGAAGACGTGGCCTCACTGAGGTTTCCTCCTTCCCACGAGGGATATTACGTACATCTGGGCGGTGTGGTCTGTTGCGTCTACCAGAAAAAAAGACCCTCTATTCCTCATGATGTTCTTGGTCCTCCGAACTTAGGGCTCCTCCCCTCCCAAAGGGTAGTTTTTTTTCCGTTAATCTATTTGGGGCCCCGTCGGATCCACGCTTCCTGCAGTCCCCGACCCCCGACCGTCTACAGCTACCCTCCCCCGTTGCTGCCCGCACGATCTGCTCGGCTCCCGTCCTCCTCCTCTGCCTCCTCCTCCTTCTCCTCATCCTCCTCCGCCTCCTCCACCTCTTCCTTCTTCTCCTCTTCGTCCTCCTCCTCCTCCTCCTTCTCCTCCTCCTCCTCCTCCTCCTCCTCCTTCCCCTCCTCCTCCTCCTCCTCCTCCTCCTCCTCCTCCAGAGTTACTCAATATGAAAATACTCTCCCTCTTCCCCTGATGGCGTCCGGGTGATGGCCGCGCACCCTCCGCGTACTGTTTTTTACACACAGGATGCCCGGGAAATCCGGGAAACGACTCTCGCTGAGGCGCCGGCGTCATTTTTCCCCAAAATGCTGCTCTCGTTGAGGCGCCGGCTTCATTTCTGCTCCCGAATCGTTCCGAATCGTGCTCCCGTTGCAGCGTGGGCCTCATTTTCGGATCGGTGTTTGGCCTCCGTCGTTCAGGATGGCGTTCTCGCCCCAGCGCGGGCCTTTTTCTCGCGCGCCCATCCGCCCGCCACCACCGCGCCGCACCGCCCCACCACCACCACCACCACCACCACCACCACCACCACCACCACCACCACACCACCACCACCAGCACCAGCACCAGTACCAACACCACCACCAGCACCACCACCACCACCAGCACCACCACCACCACCATCACCACCACCACCACCACCACTACCACCACCACCACCACCACCACCACGACAACCACGCACACACGCACGCACGCACGCACGTGCACCACCACCCACTACGCACGCGCGCGCGGAGCCACAGGTCCGCTACGACACGCGTCCGCGGATAGAGAAAATCAGCGCCATGGTAAGGGATGGGAGGGAGGGGTAGGACGTCGAGCGCGAGCGCACCTAGCTTTCCTCCTCCTCCTCCTCCTCCTCTCCTCCTCCTCCCTCCTCCTCCTCTCCTCCTCCTCCTCCCCCCTCCCCTCCCCCTCCAGTCCTCCTCCCCCCCCTCCTCCTCTCCTCCTCCTCCTCTCCTCCTCCTCCTCCTCCTCCTCCTCTTCTCCCCTCCTCCTCCCTCCTCCTCCTCCTCTCCTCCCTCCTCCTTCCTCCTCCTCGCTCTTCCGTCCTCCCCCTCCTCCTCCTCCTCCGCCTCCGCCTCCTCCTCCTCTGCCTCCGCCTCCTCCTCCCCCGCCTCCTCCCCCTCCCGCCCCTTCGGCCCATGGGGGCCCCCAGGTGCTCCCCCCTGAGGCCCGCACGGTGGCCAGAGACGCGCCCCGATCCTCGAGCCTCGGTCCTATTTGTCCGGCGGCGATCGAGGGGGGGGGGGAAACACACACAGTCTGTGGGGAAACACACACACATACACACACTGTGGGGAAAAAACGTTCAAAAAGCACAAACAAACACACAGTGTGTGTGTGGGGGGGGGGGAAAAACATACAGAGTATGTTTTGTTTTTTCCCTACAGCGTGTATTTTTTTTTTTTTTTTTTTCCACCGTGTGTGTGTTTCCCCCACAGACAGTGAGTTTCTTTCCCAAAGAAGTGATAAGTTTACGTCGCATCGTCGGGGGACCTCTTCTGTCCCAAAACTTGGTGTCTCTTCCTGTGCCCGACCCGGCTGCGGTGCGGACTCAGCGCAGATTCGGCGTGGATTCGGCGAGGATTCGGCGCGGATTCGAAGAGTGCGACATGGATTCGACACAGATTCGACGCGGATAGGGGCGCGACGGGACAGACAAGGTCCCCCCAAGATGCAACACAGAGAAGGAGAGAAGGATTTGTCGGAAGGTGGCGGGACTTCTCAGAAGCCCTCGCGCCTTCCGAGAAGTCGTCGGTGTCCTTGGGGAGGGCTCAGGACACTTCTTCTCGGCAGGCTGGGGGACTTCCGAGCCCTCTGAGAAGGCCCGCCCCGTCTCCTTCCCCCCCCCTGGCTTGCCACCGAATGTGGCTCCCTATTTGCAAGCTGGGAGGAGGAGGAGGAGGAAGAGGAGGAGGAGGAGGAGGAGAAGGGCGGAGGAGGAGGAGGAGGAGGAGGAGGAGGAGGAGGAGGGCGGACATCATTCCTCGCCATCGCTACGGCAGAGGGAAACAATCTGTGGACACCCCCCCTCTCTCCCCCCCAGACTCCAGGCTGGCACGCGCGGGGGAGGACTGCGGCCGGGGTGCGACCCATTCAGCCAGCCCACCGCCAACACTGAGCATCGTGGGAAGGGCATTGACAGATGGGGCGCTCCAAAAAGGGCCTTGCCTTCGAGGATCGAAGGTATTGACATCTCTTCCGCGGCGGAAGGTCGGCGGAAGTAAAACGAGGCCGCCTCCGCCGGCGGAAGACGGCGGAAGGCCAGCGGGAGACGGCGGAGGTAAAAGATTCGCCCCCGAGAGATGACAACGCTTTGGTGCGCAGGGATTCCGACATCCGCCGGAGGCATGTGGCACGCGTGCTCGCTCATTTCTGCTGGGGCCTGCATCTCGGGGCCCCCCTACCGGGGTGGTGACCACAACGTGTGGTGAGTCGGTGGAGATTTGGGGTCGCCGCACGGTTTTTGTGATTCGAGTCCCTCTCCGAGGATGTCCTGGGCGACAGGGGCCTCCAGGGTCCCCAAAAAACCGTGCGGTGACGGACCGTACGGTGAGGTCTTGGGGCATTTCGAGGTCACCGCACGGCCCGTCACCGCACCGTTTCGGGACTCCGGGGCAGCATCTTCGGCAGCGGCCCGCGCGCACCGCGGTGCCCGTCCCTGGGCCCCCCAGGGCCGCCTCGACCCGCGTGGGCCTCCGCGCCGACCCCGGGTGTCGATGTAACAGAAGTTAAGGGTAAACGATGTGACTCGTATGTTTTGCACCACCGCGGCACACTGAGCACAAATGCTACACGTACGGATAGCCAGGAGTGACGAAGAGAAAACCACGGCCTCAAGATCTCTAGATCGTCACTCCCAAAACTTGAATGTTCGTTGATACCTCCTGAGCTATCGGCCAAAACACCGAACACGCTTACTGCACACGAGGGAGCGAGAGAGGAGGAGGAGGAGGAGGAGGAGGAGGAGGAGGAGGAGGAGGAGGAGGAACAGGAGAGGGGACGATCGCAAGGCGGGGCTGCCCGCCTGGTCGTCATTCACGAGGTACTGCAGGCTCGGCGTGGTCTCATTGCTTGGACTTCCCGTTCTTGGCACCTCCCATGCTCACATCCGGCTTGGAAGACGGCAACGGCGAGGTCTCAAAGCCATCCTCGATGGAGTTCGTGAACTCACGGATCATGATCGACCGCAGGCGGTTGTACAACTCCGGGTGGCCCTCCAGCTTGATGCGAGACTCTTGCTGGATCTCCCCGTTGAAGACTTCCTTCTCTGAAGATAAGGCCAAGCGACGGGTCGCCCAAGCCGACGACGACACATGCTGGAACCCGTGACTGTCACGGTCCTGGCCGTTCTTCTCTTGCTTCTTAATTTTCTCCAACGCCTCCTCGGCTGTAGTAGGCTCCTCGTAGTCATGGGCGGCCCACTCCTTCAGCGCGTCGATGGCGATGGAAGCGGCGGTAGGTGCCCCGGCGAACTCACTCTCGTCACCGGAGGCGATGAAATTTGTGAAACGGTTCTCAAGATCGACCAGCGTGATCACGGCCGCGTCTATGATAGCCGCTGGACCCGTGATCTGCACACGTTTGGTCGTCAAAGTGTAAGTGAGGCCGATCTTCTGATTGTCGTAGTTGGAGCCCAGCAAGACACTAGCGTTGACCTTGGCCTTGCTGGAAGACTTGTTGTGGACCACCGCTCCAGCGGTGGACGCGTGACCCAGGGTGGCCAAGAACGTGCGGCACGAATCGTGATCGCCAGTAGCTACAAAGTGCACCATCCCCAGAGCATAGTGAAGATGGCCGTACACGAAGTGCCTCAACTGCTTGAGCCACAGGCTACGTAAAAGATGTGCTTGGCATCGGTGTTGGTTGCCCTGATAGAGTAGACACACTCGTCGCAACCCGCTTTTTACCAACAGGCCAAGATGCACATGCGGGTAGCTCTCAAACACGAGAACAACAACTGCACACGACTGAGAACAACTCAGTCCCCTCTGCGGTGATATCACTTCTTGATGGACTTCCTCTGCTCTCGCTCCGTCTTGGCCAAATCCAGCATGAGACTCTCCTCGGAGATCTGGTAGCACCCGGTCCTGATGACCCTTCCGAGCAAGTCACATGGCTCAGCGGAGTCCTTCGTCAACCCGTCCGCCAACTGCCGGTCGGTTGGTGCCATTTCAACGTTGTAGCAGACCGGGCCAAGCCTTCTCGAACGATGACCATGTCCACGGCATTTCTGCGATCTCCAATTGTGGATGGCGAGGAAGCACCCGTGGACGAAGTTACGTTTGGACCCCTGCCTCTTCTTTCTTCGAGACGCCCAACATAAGCTCTGTGGTGTTCTTGTGGTTCATGTTGATGATGTTCTGATCGCTGGGGAAGGAGCTTATTTCAATGAGGCGGTGCGGAGGTTGAAAGATAAGTTCCCGTTTCGAAAGTGGACCGTCGGCGAGGGAGAGTACTGTGGCAGTGTTCTCTACCAGGATCCGAAGACGTTCGACATCTCTGTCCGCCAGACCACGCCTTACCAGGAACTCAAGCCGGTGGTAGTTCGACGACGGGTCGCGGACAATGAACCAGCTACTGATGCGGAAGTTGCCAGACTTCGGTGTCTACTTGGTCAAGGAGGTTGGCTCTGCAGTCAGACACGACCGGACACCGGCGTCTTCACCAGCGGCAAGGGGCGCCATCCAGACCATACAGGGGTAACACAAGTTCCACCACCTGATCAGGATGAATCCCAGGAAGACCGCCAGGTGGTTGCTTCGCGTAGAGGGGCCCATCTGGTCGTTGTAGTGGGTCGCCCTCCATAAAGGCGCCCCGGATGTCTCCGATCTGAAGTTGCCACTGATGTGAAGCAGCCAACTGGAGTGTTAGCATCCGAGCGTTCTGCGATACCGTGGTTGCGGCTGTCTTGTTCCAGTAGACAAGCTTGAGAGCGTCCGGGTCCTTGAAGCCTCTGGCAACCCAACGAGCCTTCACCAGCTCCTTGCCGTCGGGGTCGTACTCGATGGTCAGGACGAAGCGCGTGTCAGCAAGCCGGTCGGGTCGGGTCCGCGTGATCTCGCCTGACTCCTTCAAGCTGCACACACGTACGGCATGCTTCTCCTGGTCCACGGTCTGCCACTCTGTCTTCTTGGCTTTCAGGATCTCCTCGATCAGATAGGGTCGAAGCTTCTCGGTGATCTCCTTCGACCCTTCGCCAGCAACACCTCGTAGCAGGGCTCGCCGGTACGCGCCATGGAGGTCAGGCAGACATCGGCAATGATGACCGCGTCCTGACCCTCCATCTCAGCCCCCACCACCAACTCGTCATGCTCCGGGTCGGGGTCCAAGAGCGCTTGCCGAAGGTTCGTGAACGAGTCTGGAGCGTCGTCTGGCCGAGTCGGAGGTTCCTGGACGGCAGGTTGTACAGCAGGCGCGGCAGCCTGACCAGATGCAGACGATGATGAGGTACCCTCTGTCGTGACCGCCGTCTTCTCCCTCAGGCGTTTCAGGGGCTTGCCCTCAATGTCGAACACACGTCGTGCGACCAGACTTGGATCTTGCAACTCGTCGACCGTTCTCTTGACGGCCTGGTCCACCTCGAGGCTGGTGTCTTCAAGAGCCGGAGCTGGTACATCGCCAGGCGGCCCAGCGTCAGGCAGGGGCCGATCCTCAAGTAGAGCGGGCTCAGGAGGTGGAGCCTGCCCAGGAAGGAGAGCGCGCTCGGGAGGTTGGAGCAGGCTCAGGACCGGCAGGCAGAGGTGCCGGCACCACAATGACACGACCTTCGCCAAGTGGAGCCGGAGCCTGTCCTTGATTCTCAGCAGGTAGGTCCACGTAGACCGAGTTGCCTTGCTTTCCTTTAAACTTTTCGTGAGCGGCCTTGAACTCTTGACGCACATGCCAGTCTGCCCATTCCTCTTCTCGGGTTGCATGTCGAAGGTGTTCGGGAGCCGCTCGAATAAGGGTCCCTGCGTGTGATAACCAATAGTGACCGTTCTCCTCGCCAAGGACAGTGGCGCTTCCATGCCAACGCGCATTGTTCTCACCATCCTTCTGCCGACCTTTGCCTCGGCCTCGCCGCCAGTAGGCTACCCGATCACCTGCTCGAAATTCTCGAAGTGGTCCGGGCCGGGCGTCCAAGGCCGTCCTCATGGCCTCATCGTCGCTGTACATCAGAACAGCCATACGGGCGGCAGCTCGAACAGCAGTAGTCCGCTGGTAGCCGTCGCTGTGCAGCCCCAAGCTGTTCGCAACAATGTCCGGTGAGTCCTTGAGAAGGTCGGCCGGGAGAGGAGGATCACGTCCGAACACATGCTGGCATGGGCTGTGCCCATGCTTCCTCAAGAGGCGGTTCTTCTGATCACAGACCGCACCGACGCATTGCTCCCACTCCTGAGGGTTCTTCGGCTGGACGGTCTCGATCACCTTGCTCAGGATGTTGGCGAACCAGGAGCCATGTCTTTCAGCCTTTCCGAGTAACCAGTGAGCTTCACCTGGGGTGACGTCGAAGTCCACGGCGTCGCACTCCAGCACCTCGGACATGATGGCACCGGTGTTGGCCCGGGCCGAGTCACACTTGGCCCTGACTGGTGCGCCGTAGGGCCTTCGCCAGCCCACGTCCCAGGCCTTCCTGAGGGTCTCCCCCTTTCCCCTCGTTACCGGCCAGCGGCATCATCTGTTGGAGGGAGCTGGCGCCGTCCACGACGTTCAGGGCGGCCCAGGTCTTCCCAGAGATGTAGTACGGCAGCTCCTTTTACGTCGAAACCAACCTCAGACAGCACCTGGATGTCTCTGGGAACCGTTGCTGGCCGTGGTAACTTGGGAGCTCGGTTCTGCTCGCAGACGTCACACTTGAAGTCCCGTGCGATGGCGATGGCCTCCTCGGTCGCGTTGCTATGCTTGAGGACGCGGACCAGGTCACCAACCGCAGGATTGGCAAGTATGACATGTATCGTGCGAACCGCCGTTTCCAGCTTCTGTCGTCGATCTCGAGCTTCACCTTGGGACTCCGGCGGCTCCTCCACGTCCTGGTCAGCCTTCTTGCGCCTCTTGGACGCGGCGAACACCTCCGTCATGAGAGACTCGTGAGTGTGAACCTCGACCAAGCCCTGCCAGAGCACGGCCCTCGCCTGCAGCGACTCCTCGACCTCCACCTCGGAAACCAGGACTGACATCTCCTTGGACATCCCGTTCACGATGGCACGAACCAATTCAGGAGGGTAGCACTGAGAGGCTGCACTCCGTAGTTCACCTCCAGCTCCTCCTTGGATCGCCTCGTGGTGGTGGTCGCCTGGGCATCGCCGAGACGAGGCCTGAGCCAACGCCGGACTCGAAGTAATGAACCTGAAGGCCTTGCGGTAGGGCTTGCAACTGACCACATCGTGATCACCATATTGACAACCATGGCCAACTGCCTCGTACACGCGGTCCTGACACATGAGCTTGATCATCGCGGGCTCGTTCCACGACTGCGCCGACTGCGGCTGCTCGATATAGAAGCCGAGCGCCCGCTAACCGTCGCCGGTACTCAGGAGTATCCCTCTGCTTGTTCATGTACTGTAGGATACTAAACAACGTGCAGGGTGGCGACATGGCAACCCACTCAGGTTGATCTTCAGCCAGTGGTCGCCACATTTCTCGACGGTGATCTGCACGCAGAAGGTCCCAGCCGGTGGTCAGATCCAGGGCCTTCGTCGGGCCCAGACCCTTGAGCTCAGCCTTCGGGCCCACCCGCTCGGGGCTGAACAGCTCGAAGAGGCCAGCGCGTCGTAGCTGCGCGGTGACTGCAGCGATGTCCATCACCAATCGTCGTCGCTGTCGGCGGGTGAGCTGACCAGTGGCATCGCCCGATGGAGGGCGTGCCTCCTCGAGCTCGCTGACCTTCTGCTCTAGGTCCTCGGAGGTCCCAGCGTCACCCTCAGCATCTGCAGTAGACTCTTCGATATGTGATGCTCGGCACGCTCGTGTAGGTCAGCTGGCAGAAGTTCGAGATCCGCTGGTGCTATCGTCGCCAGACACCGATCATGGTTGTCGCCAAGAACGGTGCGAGCAGCATCTTCAGCTTCCCGTTGAAGAGGAGGCGGTTGACCTCCAGCCCTGTCGCACACGGGCATGTCCTCGATGTCGCCCGCTGACCCTTCGGGGGCAGGGATCACGTTCGGCTGCTTCTCTGTCGCGGCGACCGTCATGTAGATGGTGACCTCTGGATCGCTGATCATCGGGTGCAGGTCGTCGCTGAAGCCCTTGGGGTCGAACTCGGTGAGGGAAAGAACGTAGTGGCCACCAGCTCCTGTTGGAAGTCGACACCCCGGCAAGTCGCCAATGGTAACCGTGTCCTTGGAGGTGTCGATCTGGGACTTAATGGCCTTGATCTGCTGCTTGGACATGAGGGGGGGCGCCGAGCCCGGCACCACAGACCACTTCGTAACCGCGTTCTTGCCCAGGACCCCGCCTGGCAACAGCACCTCGCCCACTGACGACTGGCTGCCGTCGTTGCCGCAACGAAAGGATACCTGCAGGGCGTCGGATAGGTGCACAGGCTGTAGCCCATGATCTTGTCGTAGTCGTTGGCAGTGCCGCTCGAAGGTCTCCGTGCCCACCATGTCCTTGGCGCAGCCCAAGTCGAGGATCGCGTGACCTGGCGTCGACGAGAGGAGTGCGTCCTTCTCGATCTTACGGCTTCGATCCGGCCCTGATGAAAATGGTTCTTCTGGATCGTCGCACTGACGATTTCGTCGAAGGTCATGTCCCCGATGGCTTGGCGGACGTCGGCACGTTGTAGAAACACTCTGCGAAGAATTGACTCTTGGGCTTCACTGGCTCAGTTGAGCTCGTACCTGCCGTGGATCTACGAGGCTCCTTGCAGTTCTTCTGGGAGTGACTAATCTTCTTGCAGTTGTGGCAGCTCACTCTCGGACGATACGCCTCTAGGTTCGGCTCCACGAAACCAGGACCCAGCTTGACCTTCCCGCGTAGTTTCCGCTGCTCCTTCCAAGAGATCAAGGCGTCGATGAGGTCTCGCTCGTCAACAGGTGGGTCGGCATCGTCTTGTACTCCGTGGTCGGCCAGTAGCGCTTCGCACTCCGGGTCGCAGTCGTCACCCTCGATGGTCTCATCGTCGTCGATCTCCTGCTCGGCCACGAAGGCCTTGTGGTGACCATGACTGCCCGTGGCCATCCTCCCGAGGCCCGCCCGGCACGTAGTCCTCAGAGCCCTCGCGACCTCGGGCTCCCGCCAGGAGCCATGGGCCGCGGCCACGACGACCGCCTCCTTCTCCGAGTCCAGGTGGCAGCCCTCGAGGAGCATGATGCCCCGAGCGATCTCCGGCAAGACGATGCCTCGCGCTCGGCGTCGGCGAAGATGGCCCGGGCCCGGGCCGTGTAGGCGTTGGCCTCCTCATGCTTGTGGGTCTTGAGCGTCAGGCAAGCATGCATCACCTCGCCGAGCTTGTCCGAAGCCGGGAGGTCGGGGTACCTGTCGTCCAGGATGGCGAAGATCACGCCGTCTCCGCCAGCTTGCTCGATGAGATCGTCCTCGACGTCCTCGATGGCCCTGCAGGCCGCGCCGGTCAGGAGGGTTATCAAGGCCGAACCTCGAGCATCCTCGTTGATAGTCTTGGACTTGATCCACGCCCGCGCCCATTTCCTCCAGGCCTTGTGTTCCGTGGGCTTCTCGCCCGAGACCCTCCTGACGGCGCCGTTCTGGTTGTCGGAGTCGGCCATGCCGACGAAAAAGAGTGAAGAAACATAACTCCGCGTTGTGCTGGTAAATGAAGGTCAGCGGCGTCACCACGCCGATGAAACTGAAGCCGATGTGCACGCCTTGCGCACAGAGAGAGAAACACGCTCCGCACTACCACTGTCGATGTAACAGAAGTTAAGGGTAAACAGTGTTACTCGTATGTTTTGCACCACTGCGGCACACTGAGCACAAATCCTACACGTACGGATAGCCAGGAGTGACGAAGAGAAAAACCACGGCCTCAAGATCTCTAGATCGTCACCGGGGGCCGGGATGGCCCAGGCCAGGGGGCGGTTCGCCGTCACAGTCGCGGCCCCGCCGCCTCCGGGGGCCTCAGGGCAGGGCAGTGTCCAAATTCCGACGACGACGAGGACCACGAAGACGGCGACGGCGACGGCGGCGACGACGACGGCGGCGACGACAACGGCGACGACGGCGACGTCCACGGCGAGGTCGATTCGATCTCGAAATTCCGACCTTCCGATGCGCGCATGACGTTGCAGTGCGCCCTGGTGCAGGCGGTGCGGCTCGATCTCGGCTCCGTGCCAGCGCGGCCCGGTCCGACGCACACTCCGATAGCGACCCGAGCTCCCGCTTCGATGCTGACCGATCCTGCAGGGTCAAGACGTCCAACGATCTCGATCCCCGAGCGGTCCTCGATCCTCACCGTCAGGATCATCAGCACCGCCGTCGTCGTCTCGGCCCCACCGCTGGCTGGGCCGGGGGTGGCGGTCTCGCCCATCGGCACTGGCCCGTTGGGCGGCGGCAGCAGCTGTCGCCGGCCCGGGTGGCTCGATGCTTGAGGGGGACAGGCGAGGCTCGAGGGGGCAGGAGGAGGAGGAGGAGGAGAAGAAAAAGGAGGAGGAGGAGGAGGGAGAGGAGGAGGAGGAGGAGGTGGAGGAGGAGGAGGAGGAGGAGGAGGAGGAGGATGAGGAAGAGGAGGAGGACGAAGAGGAGGAAGAGGAAAAGGGGGAGGAGGCGGAGGAGGAGGGGAGGGTGAGGAGGAGGCTTGTGGGCGGTAATTCTTGCTTGTGGGACTCGAGAGGCTTCCGCAGGCCTGCAAGAGGCCTCCAGGAGTGCTCCTCGGAGGCCTATACAGCAGGTCTTCAGAGTTTGCCGTGAGGTTTCGAATGAGGTCGCCGTGTCTTTGCCTCCTTGCCTGCCTCCATCCTCGTGCGCTGAAGTCTATATCTACTGCTTCCTGGCCACGCTTATGCTGAACCCAGAATCTGTGTATACGTCCTGGCCAGGCCAGGCGGGCGTGGCGTATATACACCGCTGCTGGGTTCAGGGTGGGCCCAGCCAGGGAGCAGTGGACATGTCCAGGTTTCGTCGCCCTGCGTCCCTCGCCCCGTCATCCTCCTCTAAGTGAGGATGGAGAACGTCTGAGAGATGAGGAAGGGTGGAGAGGAGGGAGGGAGAGGGAGAGGGAGGGAAGGAGGGAGGGAGGGAGGCGTCGAGAAAGAAGGGTGGAGAGGACGAGGGGAGGGCGGGGGAGCAGGGGGGGAAGCGGTGAGCAAGTCGTGTTCCTCGCCTCCTCCTCTGCTCTCCTTCGCCCTCCCTTGCGCCCGCGGAAGCGAGGATCAAGTCCCTCTTTCATCCTCCCCTCCCCTTCCCTCCTCCTCCTTGATCCTCCTCATAATCGATCCTCCTCCTCCTCCTCCCCATGCTCCTCATCGATCCTCCTCTTCCCCATCGATCCTCATCTTCCGCATCGTTCCTCCTCTTCCTTGATTTGCTCCTCGCTTCCTCCTCTGCTCCTCGCCTCCTCCCCTGCGTCCGCCGGGCGCGCCGTCGCTCGCTGGCGCCTCGTCCTTTTTGGAGGTGTTCTGACCTGCTTCACTCAGAAGCAGCCCAAGCCTTTGCCGTCTTTGGCGGCGTGCAGGTGGGAGTGGGCGGAGGGAGGAAGGCTTCCTCGAAGCACCCTGCTTCGTAGAAGGCGCTGGCCTCGTCTGTAGATGGACGGGCCGGCGCCTGCTGAGGCGCGGCCTCCTACGAAGCCTTCATCCCTCGCCCCACCCCCTTTTGTGCGCGCCGCCAAAGTACCATCTGCCGTCTGCGCGACGCAGAGAAGCGGTGCCGTCGTCACCAACGTGGGCGCGCAGGCCTTCCGCGTAAGGTCGCGCGTGAGCGCCACCGCCTCCAGTGTAGCGTGCCGCGCTGGCGGGCCGCGAAAGCCACCGCGTAAGGTCGCTGTGTCGTCTCGCTTAGGACGCCCTTCTCTTCGTCGCTCCTCTGTCTGGCGTCCTTCGGCCCAAACCTGCCACCGTGCCAGGGTCGTGGCTCCGAGCAAGTCGTGAGATAATCACCCAGTGGAGTCGAGCAGCACGTGAATGTCGCAAGAGGAGAAGACAGAGCCGGGGGAGAGACGACGACAGCAAGAATCCAAGCTCAGCCCTTCTCAGGGCACCCCTCGGCCTCTTGGGGGCCTCCCAGGGTCCCCCCTCTTGGACGTCTCAGCCCCTTGGTGGGGCCCTTTTCGGATCTGCCTATCCAGAGGCATGCCACCCTTATCGTTCGTCTCCCTTCTTGCTTCCAATGTTCGCCCGCATTCCCTCAGGCCTGTTGCGTCCTCGCACGGGGGCTGGCATGCGTCCTGTCCTCGAAAAGACCGGCGCCTCAGTACTGCGCGCCTTTCGTCTGCTTCGCCCTGTGCGTGCCCTTCCAGGCCACCGTGATAGCGATCACCAGGCTGGACATCGTGCAGGCAGGAAGCGCAAGAGTGGCCCGTCTTCATCGTCCGCCATCTCCTCCATCTCCTCTCGGAGGGGCTCGATATCCAGGGGCAACGTTAGGGGGGATAGGCTCAGGGGGGATGCATCGTTCCTCGATCCTCCGCCGATAGGGGCCATATAGACTTCAGGAACGGGGGGGCCGATCGCCGAGCTACTGGCGATATCTCGATGTTTCCTCCCCCCCTCAGCCTATAATTCCCGTGATCGGCCCCACGGAGCCAAGGAACTCTGCGACGGAACTCGGCACAGACGCCCCAGCATCCCAGAGCTCGAGTAGCTGGGCTGGGGCGTCTATGAACGACACTGTGTACGCATCGAGCCCCTCCCATGTTTCTCCCCCTCCGCCGCCAGCTCCCCCGCCCCGCTCTGCCCCCTCCTCTCCTCATGGACGGCGGAGGAGGCCCAGACGCGGAATTGTGTTTGTCTGTGTGTGTGTGCGTGTGTGTGTGTGGGTGGGGGGGCGAAAATCACGGAAACACTGTCAGGATGTTTGTAGTTTTACTCTGATATATGATTCTATCAAAATATGATCCGGCTGTTTGGGCGAGGACCGGAAATCCTGTAGCCCTTTGTTGCTCAAGAAAATGAGCAGCCCTCCTTCCCCCCTCTCTCCGCGACGGGGGTAGGGGAGCGCGTGCATGGTAGCGGAGCTCGCTTGCGGCTCGCGGGCCAGCTCCGCACCTGGCAAGTTCCAGGAACCCTTCGAGGGGGCCCAACGGCGGCGCACCGCGGGTCCAGCGGCGGAGGGCCGCGGAAACAGCTGCGGGACGATCCGCGCTGCTAGCAAGCAGAATACCCTTGTGGCCAGAGCTGCGGGAGGACCCGCGCCCTGGCAAGGAGGTGGGAACCAGGGTTCGAGTCCAGCCTTCGAGCAAGTTCAAGGCCAAGGGTGCGAGCAAGCTCAAGGCCAAGAAGGCGGACAAACGCGGTGGCAGAGCCCCAGAGGCGAGGGCCCACCGCCAGAACCGAGGGAGCGCCTGGCGAAAGCTGGCCGATTGCGGCGACGCGGTTCAGCTTACGGAAGAGGAGCGAGCAGCGGTGAAGCGACAGCTCGCGCTCGATTTCCAGCGTCAGGCGAAGGCCGACAAGGACAATGGAAGGTCAAGTGCGAGAACTGGTCGAGCAATTGCAGAGGGTGACGACGGAAGGTCAGCAGATGAGCACGTAGCTTCAGCAGCGAGATCTTGCGACAGCCGAGATGCGATGCCAGCTTCAGGGGCGAACCGACAGAGAACGAGGGCTTCGAGGCGAGATCATGGACCCGAAGATTCTTCACAAGGTGAAGCCGTTGGACGGCCAGAGAGCGAGCTGGAAGACGTTCAGCGTCCAGTGCAAAGCCTACCTGGTCGCGCAAGACAGAAGGTATCGACCTCTTCTCGAGAAGTGCGAAGACGGAGCGCAGGACGTAGACGACGTGAACCTGTCAGCCCAAGAGGAGGAGCTCGGCACGCAGCTGTACTTCGCCCTGGTCCTGGTCATGCCCGAGGACTCGGCGGGCGAGATGATCGCGGGGAACAGCAGCTCGGGGGAAGGAGCGGCGCGCAGGAGGCAGCTGCAGCAGGAGTACGACCCGAAAGAAGCAGGCAACGTGTTAGCGATGTGGACCAAGCCCACGGACACGAATTTCGAGGCAAAGGACGGCGCGATGGTGAGTATCAGCATGCCCGACGAGGACATGACGGGGTACCGGAAGATGTCAGGCGAACCCGTGTCGGACCTCATCAAGCGAGGAGTCCTCACCAAGGCGCTCAAGGACCGCGACGAGTTGCAGAAGCACGTATTTCGGAACCGCAGTCGGCTGGACACGCGTGACCTCTTGCGAGCCGAAGTTGTGTCGGCGCTGATGGCGGAGCGAGCGGCCCACGACGATCCGATGGACACCGGCGGGTTGAAGGGCGGCAAGAAGCCGTGGAAAGGCCGCGGCAAAGGCAAGGCAGGCAAGGGCAAGGAGAGGCCGCCGAACCCAGACGCCGACCTGGAGTGCAACTACTGCCACAAGAAAGGCCACCGCATGCGGATAGCCGGCGAGCAGACGGCAGCCGCCAACCGCGACAACGAGGACAAGAAGCAGCACAGAACAGGACTGGTCAAAGAGAAGAGGAGTGTCGCAGCAGCGGCAGTAAGCGAGCTCGAGAGGTTGCGACAAGCAGGAGTGGCTCCAGCGACAGGGTCGACGGTGCCCACGCAGCCTCTGCAAGGGACACGCAGCATCGCCGAAAGCGCAGTGACCCTGCCAGTCTGAGGAGGGCTGCAAGCGAAGATGATTCTGGCCCTGAGGGCCGAGGTCACCCAGCCCGAGACCACAGGATCGACTGGAAGTACACCTTGCCCTACAACAGCGCGTGCATCTGCAGCTCGTGCAAGGAACTGTTCGAGGGCAAAAGGTGGCATTGCCATGAGTGGAGCCTGAACTTCTGCGAGGCGCGCGCAGAATATTGCCTGGACAAGCACAAGCGCCCGAAGTTCGACTAGCGGGGAGTGTAGCTGCTGCGAGTCAGCTGCGGTAGAACCCGCGCTGCCAGCTGCGGTCGGACCCGCGCTGCCCGAGGTCGGGGGCCTACAAGAGCAGGTGCTGGAAGGTGACCGACTGCGGTTAGCCCCGCTTGGGAATGCCATCGCGCTCGACTCAGGCGAGCAGATCAGCGCAGCGCCGAGGAAGCAGGTGATCAAGCACAACTACACGCCGACGGACAGCAGCGCCGTTGGCTCGAAAGGGATCGGAGGCGAGGAGATCGAGGGGCACGGCCATGCGGAGCTTAACCTGTCCAGAGGAGGAGAGGTGATCCAAGTTGGTGCGGAAGCTGCCGACGTGGAGTACCCCGTTGTGGCCGCAGATGCGGTAGTGCAACGAGGCCAGAGCGTTCTCCATAGCCCCGCAGGCCACTGGATCATCAACGGCACCATCGAGCCACCTGATGGAGCTGAGTTCGTGGCTCAACGACGTCATCAGGCCAACTGCTACTTAGAGCGCGATCAACTCATAGACTGCGAGACCCATCCAGACGCCGCGCACGTAGCAGCAGTGAGGAAGACGCTGCCGCGGAAGGTCCCAGCTGAGCAAGCAGGCGGATCTTTGCCGAGGGCTCTCTGCCCAGAGGCGGACGAGGTCGCGACTGTGCCGGCGAGGGTGCTGAAGTCGCCCTGCCAGCCTAGTGCTGCGGAGAGGGCCGCGCGCGAAGGGCATCACCTACCTTTTCGCCCTTGGTGCCCACCGCGCGTGGAAGGTCGAGCGGGCGACGACCCGCACTTCGCGCAGGGGCCAGCGGGCGAGAAGCATGTTCCGAAGGTGGCGCTCGACATCTTCTGCGTCGGGACTGACCAGTTGGCGGCTAAGCACAAGCTCGAACGAGGCTACTTCAGCTTCCGTGAGAAACCGCTGGCAACGAAAGCAGATCCAGAACCGTCGATCGCAGTTCTGAACGCGGCTTGCAAGATCCCGGCGCAGGCGACGCTCTATGCTAACCGAGATTTCGACGACTACAGGGCGTCCTTCCTGATAGCTTTGCTAGAGGTCTGGGGTCACGCGGGCCACGCGACAGTCGCGCCCCAGACAGACCGGGAGCCGGCCGCGATGGCCCTGGCAAGTGCAGTTCGAGATTGCAGGTCCCGCTCAACCTTGGCCCGGGGGTCACCGCCTTTTTCCCAGAAGAGTGCTTGCTACGCCGAGGGTGCCAACAATCTTGCAGCAGGCTTGCTGCGGACCCACAAGCTGAAGTTGGAGCACAATTGGGGGCGCGAGATCAAGATGGCGGATCCGATTGCGCCTTGGCTCGTCAATTCGGCGGGCTGGATGATCACCGGGCTTCAGCCACGAAACCATGGAGGCTCTTCCCTCAAGATGCTGCACGGCAAGGAGTACAGCGGGGAGATCGCGGAGACGGTCGAGCAGGTCTGGCATCGGATCTCAGCGCGAGTTGCTTCTGGACGCGGCAAGTGGGAGGCCCGCTTCGCGAGAGGGATCTGGATTGGAAAGAGCGAGTTTGACGGCGCTCACCTCGTGATCGACCCAGAGTGCGGCGCGCAGAAGGTCGCGACCGTGCGGAGGATGCCAGAGGAGTTGCGAGCAGTTGGAAAAGGGCCTCGTGGCCCCCGGGGCCACGGTCGCGGCGCCAGCCCCGGCTGCGGGGGCGCCCGCGCCTGGCGCAGCGGCTGGGCCAGCAGCGGCATCAAGCAGCAGCGAGGCAGCGGTAGCACTCGCACCTAAACCGCGGCCATGCCTTCTGTCCCAGGAGAGGCAGAAGCACAGACAGCCACGCAGACGGAACCTGAACATATCAGGAGCGACGTCCAGAGAGGCGCCCCGGGAGAGCCGAGGGCCGAAGTGGAGGTCAAGAAGCCGGGAATAGCAACAATCGGTATGCTCTCTGTCTGCGAACTGGCAGCCTGCGAGGAAGGCTACGACGAGACTTTCGACCCGAAGCGAAGTTCAAGATGCTCGGATAGGTGTGAGAAGCATTCGTCGAGATGCCAGCTGAGGGAGCGCCGCCTGCCTGATGAGCCACATCGGCATGATCAGGAGACACTTAGGAGAACCTGGCGAGGAGCAGATCGAGCAGATGGTTGAGGTCAGCGCCGAGTTGCACGAGCACGACCAGCGGAGCCCAAGGACGGTACCCTACGATTGCGACACTGGAGAGCCCCTGGACGAGGATCTGTACCAGAAAGGTCGCGACGACGAGCTTCTGGCCATGAAGGACTACGGAGTCTACGCGGAGGTGGCGACGTCGACGGCGACCGACGGCAAGCATGCCGGAAGCTTCCCCATAGCCCACCAGAAGGAAGGCAGAGCCAGGTGGAGGTTCGTGGCTACTGAGATCAAAAAGCACGAGGTGCGCGAGGACAACCACCAAGGCGCGCCGCCGCTCATGATTGTAAGGGCGACGCTAAGCCGCGCCGCCTCGAGCCCTACTTCGACGGGAGAGCACAGGCGGATGATCCAGGTCTGGGACGTCAGGAAGGTTTTTTTCAACGCCGACCTCGATGAGAGGATCCACATTCATCCTGGACGCGAGCTGTGCCCTCCTGGAAGGTGCTGGCGGCCGCGGAAGGCCATGAACGGCGCCAGGAAGACATCGCAGATGTGGGGGGTGCTGGTGCGGACCACCATGGATGACGGTCACTGGGATTGCTTGACGGCGACACCTAACGTGTTCTACTTACTGGCGAGCCCCGACGCCCCTGCCGTCGACGAGGACAGTACAGCGATCTACCACGGAGGCGACTTTCTGGCCGAAGGCTACGACGAGCAGCTGGACGAGCTGGACGAGTTGCTGAAACAGCAGTTCGAGGTCACAGCGAGCGCCAGACTGTGTGTTCAGGAAGACCAGGGCGGACGAATTACCTCAAGAGGATAATCGGGTGCACCGATCAGCTGCCAGGCTCAGAGGATCCAGGTTTCTTCTGGACAGCGGATCCCAATCACGGGTAGTTCATGATTCAGTGGACACAGAAGCGAGGGCGCAAGGCAGGGGTCCTACCCCAGGAACGATGGCGACAGGACAAGGCCGACTAGACGGCTTAGACCTTCTGTCCAAGGGTCGAGCTCGGGAAGTTGCGGGTGCAGCAGGCGCCGCGCTCTACCTCTCTTCGGACAGGCCCGACACGATATACGCCAGCAAGGCCGCGATGTAGCACGTGTCGAACCCCAATGTCCTGATGCATGCGCGAGTTCAGCGGCTCGGACGGTACTACGAAGGACAGCCTGTGTTGGTCTGGTGCTGCCTTTTGCAGGGTACTCCTGAGGGCATCCGTGTGGACGGAGATGCAGATTGGGCGCCTTGCAAGCGAATTGCAGAGGCGATCCACGAGCGGAGGAGCAGCGCGGCATGCTGACCACACATGGGACTGCTGCCCGGCGACGCAGAGCACCCTAGCTCTAAGCTCAGGGGAATTCGAGATGCATGCTGCAGGCAGCGCGACTGCCAGCGGACTCCAGTGCGAGACCTACCTGGTCGAGACCCAGAGGCCCTGCAACCTGAAGATCTACAGCGGCAGCACCGCTGGACGGGGCATGTGCAGCAGAGTGGGCGTGGGCAAGGTCGGGCACCTGGAAATGAGGTACTTGTGGGTTCAAGATCGGCTGCGGCTCAAGGCGTTTGAGGTCTTCAGGGGGGACGCCGACGAGATGGCGGCCGACATGCTCACCAAGTATAGCGAGAAGCCGACGATAGAGAAGCACTGCACCATTCTGAACCTCATGTTCAGGAAACATTTCAAGGGTTTGAGCGCGATGGCAGGTTCCACGGGAGTCGCAACTTCTGCGTCATGCTAGAAGGTGACGGTGTACGAGGAGCCAGGCCAAGCAGCGGTTCACCCCGCACCTGTGCCCCACTACGTGGACAGCGAGGAGTTCTGGGGAATCCTGAAGACCGGTGTCTTCGTGGTCATCGCTGCGGCGTTCTTCTTAGGCTGCGCGTGCGGTTGCTACGCGAGGAGCTACCTCGAGAAGGGCCTCGCCCAGGAGGCGGTTGACCCCGCACCTGGAGACGCCGACGTCTACCTGGCTACGCGGACTGACGCTGAGGTCAAGACCATAAGTGTATAGGGACTTGGCACAGAGCCTTGCCCAGCACGGTGCGACGGAGGAGCGAGGCACAAGCTTTTCTACATGCTTCTCGTAGCCGACTTGAAGCAGGCCTTGAGAGCCAAAGGCCTGCACGTGAGTGGTCTCGAAGACGACCTGATCATGAGGCTGATCAAGAAGGGCAACGTCCTGTTGGATCGCCAGGCCAAGGAGATCGAGCAGCTGCGAGTGACGGCCACGGCGCCCGGACCTCTGATCAGGATCAACCTTCATGACTTGAGTGGCCTTGAGGCCGCGCAGCAGTGGATCGAGACGTTCAAGGGCGAGCGCCGAGATCGCCCCGATGGCTCTCAGCTGAGCCACCCAGGGAGCTAGACGGATGTCCGCAGGTAGCACTACGACAGCTGAGGCTGAGCTAACGACCAGGCTGCGACTAGTCCCGCGCCTGCCCACGGCGTGTTCCCCCGCGCTCCGGCTGAGGGCCTGCGGGGGGCCCCGCAGAAGGCCCGCGGAAGGGGCCGCAAAGCTGGTACCCTGCTCACGCTTTTCGGCTAGAGGCCGAGCCGCCTCCCTGCGCCGAAGGAGAGCATCAGTTTTATTATGATTTATGATTATATCAAACTAGAATCACACTGTTCGGGCGAAGACCCGACATCATGTAGCCCTTTGTTGCCCAAGAACAAGAGCAGCCTTCCTTCCCCCCTCTCTCCGAGGCGGGGGTAGGGGAGCGCGTGCAAGCACGGAGGTTCGGCAGGTTTGTTGATATTGCCGTCTTGGGCTGTGGGTGCATTCGTAGACAATCATGTCGCTGCTTTGTGGGAGACACAGGGCCCAGAAATGTAGAACACTCTGAAGCAATGCCACTCTGATCAAGCGGCGAATCATTGAATGTTTGCTACAGATCACAAGCGACGAAAATCACAGTGAGAGTGGTAACTTACAGAACATGTCATCCGAAGCAAAGGGAATTACTGCCAGGTAGAAGACTTGTGGATATACGTATACGGTAGCCCCCCGCAGATGCGGATTAGAGTGAGGGGGCGGTGGGGGCGTCGGCAATTTGCGAGACTCTGGAGAAGCCCGCCGCAGGCGCCAATTTTTTCGTTAAACCAATGCGGGTGGGTCGCGGGTGGGTCGCTGTTGGGTCGCAGAGGGGACGCGGGTGTAGAGGGCAGAAAATAGTAAACGCCCAGGGCCGTTCAGTAAACGTCAATTGTCGGGTCCGGATGGATTCTGCTCCTTTGAGGGTGGGTCGCGGGGTGGGTCGGAGGTGGGTCGCGGGGTGGGTCGCGGGTGGGTCGCGGATGGGTCGCGGGTGGGTCTCGGGGTGGATCTCGGGGTGGGTCGCCGGGTGGGTCGCGGGTGTGTCGCGGGGTGGGTCGTTGGGTGGGTCGCGGGTGGTTCGCGGGTTGGGTCGCGGGCGGGTCGCGGGTCGGGTTGTTGGGTGGGTCGCGGGGTGGGTCGCGGGGTGGGTCGCGGGATGGGTCGCGGGTGGGTCGCGGGTGGGGCGACGACAACAAACAACACCAACAACAACAACAGCACCAATTACAACAACAACAACAACAACAACAACAACAACAACAACAACATCAACAACAACAACAACTATAACAGTAACACCAACAACAGCAACAACCAAAACAACATCATCAATTATCAGTTTAATATTGTTCGCTCTTACTGGCACGCGTGTCTTGCATTCCGTATACCCCAACCCTCGGTGCCCGCCCACTTTGTTTTCGATTGCACACCCTTCCAGGGGCAATTTATCTTCTTTGTCAGCCACTGACTGAAGTGCGAGGAAGTCTCGAGCGAGAGCGCCGCAACTTGCTGAAATTACGAGGAAGTCTCGAGCGAGAGCGCCGTTCCTGAGTTCGGGTGCCTTCGTGGCCAGGGGTTTGCGGAGTAAGTCGTGAGGACGTATCGAGCAGCTCGAGCAGGAGTCCTCGTCGTCGTGGCGGGGCCTCCGCCAATTTGATTGATTTGCGGACAAGTCTCGAGCGAGAGCGCCGTTCCTCAGTTCGGGGGCCCCTCTGGCCAGGGCGCTTCGGGATAAATCATGAGGAAGTATCGAGCGGGAGCCGTTGTCGTCGCAGCTGGGCCTCCAAGGGCCCACATTTAGGCTCAAGCCGACGCTCGAGCGGGAGCCTCGTTTTCAGACAACATGTTGCCAGAACCGTTTCCAGAGATCAGCAATATTTTTCTCTAGAGGTGAGAATTCAACAACGACGACAATAACAACAACAACGCAACAAGCAGAATTCTCACCACTAATTCCTGTTGTGGGTTGATGTTGTTTTGTTGTCGTTGTTGTTGGTGTTGTTTCATCGCAGCAACCGTGTGAAGAGAGGGCTAGAGGCAGAGCGGAAGAGAGAGAGAGAGAGAGAGCGAGAGAGAGCGAAAGACGGGGAGGGTGAGAGAAACAGAGAGAGAGAGAGCCGTGAAAAAGAGAGAGAGAGAGAGGCGGGGAGGAGTAGCACGGTGTGACGGTGTGACATCGTACGCATTTGTGGAGAGAGTGGGAGACAGAGGGCGGGAGAGAGAGAAAACAGAAAGGTAAACAAAGAGAGAGAGAGAGAACGCAAAACAGAAAAACAGTTGGAGGTCACACGACGTACAATCAAGTACTTGCAGGGAGGCATGCCCGAGAACCCACCAGGGGTATTCGACACGCAAAG